TCTTGTCGCTCCCTGTATTGCGCGACCATTAATTGGAATAAACGCTTCGACGGTAGTAGTATATTCACCACCCGCGAATTTCTCCTTTTCAGTCTTGCGGCCTTTGATGACGGGTACCGCTAACAAATCCTCGTATACTCTAGCATATAAGTCTAAAATCATTAATACTTCCGCCTCTGCTTCTGCCTTAGTAGCAAACGCGGTATGGCCCTCCTGCCATAAAAATTCTCTGGTGCGTAAGAAAGGTTTGGGATCTTTAAATTCCCATCTCTGTAAACATAAATAAACTAATTGAAATGGAGCGGAATTAAAACAAGAAAAAAATACCAATCACAATAAATAGCATTTACCACAACGTTGTTCCACTGATTGAGTCTAAGTGGTAACTCGGTGTCTGACCTCAGCCATTTGGCATAAGCTGGATACATAATAGTCTCTGAAGTTGGACGTATAGCTATGGGCTCCGCCAAATCAGTTTCACCATATTTCGTCACCCACGCGACTTCCGGTGCAAAATCTGCTATGTGCGCCTTTTCCTTTTCTAATACGCTGCGAGTAACGAAGATCGGGAAGTAGCATTCTTGAACACCAATGTCCGTTATCTCTTTGTCGATAAACTCTTTTATTATCTTCCAAATCGAGAAACTCCATGGACGAAGAATATAACATCCTGACACGTCATAATATTCAATCATTCCGCTTTTTGTAATAACTTGCGAGTACCAATCAGTAAAGTTCTCCTCTTTCTTCGCTTCCAATCCTAATCTTGTTCCTGTTTTGCTTGAATCAGAATCTTTATTATTATTTGCGTTTTTTGCAACTTCTTTCTCCGATATGTTTTCAGGCTTAGAAATATGCTTTTCTTTTTTTGATACCGAGTTCACAGGCTTCCAATCTTGACCAGTCAGACTTTTATAGTCACTTTTCAAACTTAAAAAAACCTTCACTTCTTGATCAATAATGCTCTTTTCAGCTTTCGAGCTTTTTAGATTTCGTACCTTGTCACCCTGTTTTTTTATTTCTTCGGATATCTTCTCTGCTTTTGAAATTTCTTGATTTTCTGGCTTTACCTTGCTTTCAGTAACTTTAATATCAGCTGGTTTCCAATCTTGACCAGTCGCATTTTTATAGACACTTTTCAAGCTTAAGAGAATTTTCACTTCTTGATCAATAATACTCTTGTCAGCTTTCGAGCTTTTTAGATTTCGTACCTTGTCACCCTGTTTTTTTATTTCTTCGGATATCTTCTCTGCTTTTGAAATTTCTTGATTTTCTGGCTTTACCTTGCTTTCAGTAACTTTAATATCAGCTGGTTTCCAATCTTGACCAGTCGCATTTTTATAGACACTTTTCAAGCTTAAGAGAATTTTCACTTCTTGATCAATAATACTCTTGTCAGCTTTCGAGCTTTTTAAATTTCGTACTTTGTCACCCTGCTTCTTTATTTCTTCGGATATTTTCTCCGCTTCTGAAATATCTTGATTTTTTGGCTTTATCTTGCTTTCAGTACTAGCAACTTTAGTATCAGCTGGTTTCCAATCCTGACCAGTCGCACTTTTATAGTCACTTTTCAAGCTTAAGAGAACTTTCACTTCTTGATCAATAATACTCTTGTCAGCTTTCGAGCTTTTTAAATTTCGTACTTTGTCGCCTTGCTTCTTTATTTCTTCGGATATTTTCTCCGCTTCCGAAATTTCTTGATTTCCTGGCTTTATTTTGCTTTCAATACTAACAACTTTACTATCATCTGGTTTCCAATCTTTACCAGTCACAATTTTATAGTCACTTTTTAATATCAAGAGAACCTTTACTTCTTGCTCAATACTGCTCTTGTCGATTTTCGAACTTTTTAGCTCTCGTACTTCGTCACTCTGCTTTTTTATTTTTTCGAATAGTAGCTGCGTTCTTGTTTTAAGATAAGCTTCAAAATCTTCTGTTGGTCCAGTTGGTCCATCTATCCAACACCTTTTATTAAACATACTTTCCTTCGCTATTCTAAGATATTCATATATGCTTTTTTGAATATCCACCATATACAAAATATATTCTTTTGTATGACCTTGTTTCTTATATCTTTCAAATATTTCTTGTATTTCTGGGTCTACCTTTTGATCTGAATATACATTGTTTTCAGGACCATTAGGTTCAGAAAGCTCAGGTTTCCAATCCTGACCATTCATCATTATCTTATAATTTTTTTTCAAGTCCGAGAGTATTTTCTCTTCTTGAACGATTTTGCTCTTATTAGCTTTTAAATTCTTTAAAAATTGTACTTTATCGAATTGTGCCTTTATGGCTACAGACATGCATACCAATGGATCGTCGGTGTCTGGATCTGTAAATACCAAATTGTAAACCGACAATAGCAATAACATTCTATAAAAATGCATATCCATTAATCTCTGAAAATAATCTTCTATATCAGTGTATGCTTCGTCTACATATTCTTCATTTTTCTCTTTTAAATATAATGGATACAACATTGAATCTGTTGAAATTCTAAGCGTTCCATTAACTGCATCATAAGGTATCATTAGTCCTAATTCTTTCATAAACTTTTGAATCTTGTCCTTCCAAGAAGGATTTAATATTTTGGTTTTATCATATTTAATTATTGCTTCTTCTATTTTTTCTAAAGGGTTTCTGTATATTATATCTAGAGTTTCCTCATGTTGCACTTTACTTTCCTAAAAATATTTCTTTTTTTTTACTTTTGGAAATGATAAACAATACACTTTGTAGTTGCAAAATAATATCAACTTTACTTTTCGTCATTTACATGACAAATGTAATTAATAATATTAATTAATAATGTTATGATAAATTAATATTGGCATTATAAATTGTACATTTATTATTTATAAATAATAAGATAGTAATTAATAAGTAGATAATAAGGTATAAATAGTAGAAAATAAGGTATACTGATTTTACCTGTTGATTATTAGATACCGCAGGCGTCGTATAAAGTGTTGTCGTATGCCCATCAGGTATATGAAACAATACAATAGGTGGTTCCCGTGTTGAATAAGAACTAGATGCATACGGAATATCACAAATAAAGAATCCCTTCCTCTGAAGTTGAATTATCTCTCCCTTCTTCACGCGTTTCAATTCTACTTCACCCAGCATTCGAATTTCTTTCTAAAAGAAGAATTTTTATATGCAATTAGCAATATATAACATGATTATCAATTTGAATGATTATTTGTTTGTAGATAAAAAAATTCTTTACTCTTGTATTTTTGGCAACAAAATTTTTAAAATCGTCGTCTTTGCCCAAAACCGGTACGCTCATAATGTGATCAAAATAAACAGCGTAACATTTTATTGGATTTGACTTTTCTGCATTTGAATCAGATGTAGGTAATGATTCAGCCAGCCACGTGAGCTTCAAAGTATTTTTATAATTTTTGTCCTCTAGATTCAATCGTGCTTGCACATCTACTATATTGCCATCACATTTATTTATCTTTTGTATCATTATGTTACCCCAATTAATAAAGGTAGCATTCTGTCCTTCAATTAATCTTTCAGCATCTTCCTTTTCTATCAAAATTTTCGAGCCTACTCGCACTTGTTTGGTACCTTTATATGAATCTTTAGGATGATTTTGCACACTCAACCACTCTTCCTTAGCATCTATTACATTAACCGGTATCAGTTCATTATACTCCAGTGCAGTATACCTAAAATTACAGATATTTAAAAAAATATCCATGTTACCATTCTATTATCAAATTCTTAATTACATTTTCATTACCTAATTGCAACTGGATCAATGACTTTCTTATTAAAAGCCCATATTTTGTCCCATTCCATAAAGACTACAGATTTGGAACTACCTTGTGCGATAATGAATTGTTTCAGACCTTCGACTGTCATTCCTCGTCTTAGAATGCCTCTCACTGTCGGAAAGCGTGGATCGTCCCAGCCATCGACTAAACCTTCATTTACAAACCAAGTTAATTTTCGTTTAGATAAAACCGTATGAGTCATATTTAACCGTGAATATTCCCAAATGTACGGGCGACGCAATCCCAAAGCCTCAATTATCCAATAAAATTGAGCATCTCTATCGTGATACTCTGTTGTTCGTAGAGTGTGAGTAACATTCTCGATAACGTCAACAATTGGACAGGCAAAATCATACGTAGGATATACCCTAATATAGATAAAAATAATCTATGTATTGTAAATATATATAATTCTAAAATTGTATTTTTAAACCATACTAATATTAATATTTATATTTATATTGTATAGCAATCAAATTTATATTAATATAAAATTAATTATTAACCAAATTTATATTAGTATAAAATAATTTGTTATAAAATAACTAATGTAATTAATGTTTATTTTAACATTAACAAAGTAATCAAATGTTAAGATGTTTTATAATTATAAATGAGTATTTCAAGTTATTTTAATAGTATATCTTGCTAAAATATCAAGAAATATAAATACTTGTATTTGTTTTCAGTACGTGGATGAGGTTCTAATTTGCAACGATAAATTGTAGGATCGCGCATACATCCGTTTGTTGACTGATAATCAATCTTTGCTCTGACACAATATTCTTGACCCATCTTGGTACCATGTTTCATTTCTTTCCACAATTTCAGATTTTCGAAAGAGGCTGTAAAGGCGAAATGCTATTATTAGAATAGAGATAGTTAGAAAATTAATGCTTTTCTGAAAAATTATTATTTACAGAGATCTCGATATTCAGATTTCAATCTTTTATCCCGTTGTTCTTTCATAAGATTTGCCGGAGTACAATCCAGGTATGCCTTTCCATCCTTAATTAGTGTAGTACAATATTCTTGTAATATGTCAAAGTAATCCGAGGTATGCGTAAAACGGTCGGGTTTAATTTGCAGTAATTTTAAATCTTCCAATATAGCTTCCTCAAATTCTACAGTCTCCTTCGCTGGATTTGTATCATCAAATCTCATGATAAGTTGTCCTTGAAAAGTCTCGGCATAATACTGATTTAAAAGAGCTGCTTTGGCATGACCAATGTGCAGATAGCCACTTGCTTCTGGTGGAAATCTTACCACTACCTACGGAAGTAAATAAAAAAAAATTTTTTTTAATTATGAAAGTTTAAAAATCAAATTAATCTATTTTATTGTACTGTACAACTTTACTTTGCCCATTTCTGCTCCAGGAAGATCAATAAATTTGCCCTCTTGTTTCCTTGTTTTCATCTGCTTGATATCAGATTTTTCCTTTTGTGGACTTACATCTTTTGGTTTCGAAGTGGAAGAACAATTTTTTGCAACCATAGATATTGCATTATTGAAAACAGGAAGTGATTCCATATGCTTGTACCATCTAGTAATATTACAATAATCTTTTGCATATGATTTTATATATTCGTGACGATGCAAAACACAAAATACATGAATATCAGCCAATGTTAATCTTTTGGTGACCAGCCATGTCCGTGCTATTAACACATCATTCAGATAGTTTAAAAGCTCCTTGTTTATTTGTTTATTTTGCAATACTAGGGCACAAGATATCCAGTGATCGATTTCTGTCCTTTCATAAGGACAGGTACCACCTAATAATAATAGAATTATATATAATAATAAAGAATATATATCTTAGTTGGTTTTGACATATTTATCAAAAAAAAAAGCTAATTTAATATCAATAAGATCTCTATATTTTGTTATACTTGAATAATCACAAAAATATTTGCAGAGTATATCATAAAATATATACCATAAAGTAGGGGATTAATCGTCCTTGCTAGATACCGAGTAATTTCATTATTATATTGTCCCAATAATTTGTTATCTTTGTCATACAAGCAAACATCTGACTCGTCATTCCAAGTGTTGTTCCATAATATAATTATATTTTTCTTTTCAGAATTAATTACCTCGGCTACTACCAGCACGTCTGTAGATTTCAAATTCAGATAAATGATATAAACAAAATCATGTTTTTATATATTGTCTTTAATATCAATATTACATAATGTTAATGTTTACAAATGGAATTTAATATCTATAGCAATAACTGTAGTCCATCTAATAGAATAGATACTAAAAAAATTGTTAAATTTATAATTTAAAACAATAATTATTTATTGTCACAATTAACTAGGTTAATTAATTACTAGGTTACGTTATTGCTTTATTTCAAGTTAAATTATATTATTTTATATAAAATTAAATTTGGTGTTACACATGCTAAATTAAACTTTATGATAAATCTGCCAGAATATCGATATCTAGACGGATATTTAGAAGTTTTAAATATTGACGGCTAAAACAAATTAACATTACGATGGAAGTTTCCATTTAACTAGTTTTACAGCAACATCTATTCAACATTTATTTTCATAAGGGATATTTCATAAGGGGTATACATAAGTTCAAAAAACAAGTTAGGTCAATACCAACACAATACGTTGGTTGCAAGCTGATGAAATTATTAAAAGAGTTTCATTTGTTTCTCGGTAATTTATGTATTTTTTACGTTCACACTTAACATAACAATGTGACACGCTAAATTGCATGGTATTATCGTCGGAAGTGTCTTCATTCATTGTTTATAACAAAACATCTGGGATAATTGTCCTGAATATCCGACTTGGTGTATGATGCAACAAGCATAAGGAAACATTGACAAACAGAGCAATACAGAAAATAAGATAAATATAAACTATAAAAATAAAAAAAAATTAATTAAAAAAAAAAAGAGCAAACTTAAACACATGTTCCAATAATTGTCTTGCGTTTCGAAGTAGAACGTTTTAGAAACTAAAAATAAAAGTGACATAAAATTTGAACTGGACTGATCGTGTGAATCTTACCTAATACGCTATTAACTGGGTTGAGAGTGATCGTAAACTCCATTGTCTCCTCATCCATACTAAAATGAAAAGAAACACTCAACATTAGCGTGAACCGATTAAGGTTAGCAATCACATCACACCACGTATTCCACGCGAATCATTAGGACCATGGCAAAAAAACTTAAGCAGTAAAAGTAAGTAGTAAGCGAATTGATCAATCATGATAAAATCTGTAAGGCCATAACATAAGCAGTAGTCCAACATGTTGATTTTCTTACTTATTTATTCTTAGAATTTGTCCAATTGGTCTTAAACATCTACAAGACCGAACACTAAAACTGCCTCAAGCAGAATGGCCAAAACTGCCGGAGAGAAGGCCGGTAAAGGTTGCGCATGCGCAGTAATCACGTATTTATCTATCGCGTTGCTTGCACTTTTTGCACCAAGCATTTTCGCTTTCTTTCTCTTCGACGCACGAATATATATTTATCATTTTAAATACAAAAATTTTTGGAGATTTCAAGCAACGCGAACAGTTCCATTAATTCACGTTTGTCGCTCGGGATTTCCTCTTCGAATTTGAACTTCAAAAAATTTTGTATGTATATCTAGAATGTATATAAGGTACGCGTATATATACATGTATTATATACATGTAAGAGAATTCCAAAATAGTTAAATACATAATATCAAATTTGTACCCAATTTGAGTTATTTTTAATCATTTCTCTATTGATCACTCAATATATATATATATATATATAAAATAGAAATATTTATTTATATTTATCGCAAATTTACATAAAATATTTTAATAACATATTTTGAATAAAGTTTTAAAATATGTAAAAAATATTTATATAACATTTCAAAAAATGAACGAATATTTTGTGCTGTAAGTAGAATTAGATTGAGATATTAAAATACATATGAAAGATCAATTAAAAAATTTATACATATGTGTTCGTACAATATTAATGGATCATAGTATGTGATGTATCATTGAATGTGTAAATCATATGTGTATAAGTCTTACCGATTTAATAAAACAAATGACTTTATCTCTTTAATAAAAGTAATACAAGGAATCTAAAAACTATTATTATTAAAACTATTTTTTTCGAACTTTCTCGAGTTGAGCAATTCATTCTGTATTTCTAATTTTGAAGATTATTCCGGAAAAAAATATTTTATACATATAATTATATGTATATCTATAAAATATGTCAATTTTTTTTGTGTAGTTACACACATATAATTGTACATAATTTTATATTTATGTACATATAATTGTACATAATTTTATATTTTATATTATGTATAATTATATGTACAATTATATGTAACATTTTTTTTCTGAGACCTGATTAGATATTTACATTAAATTTTGTTTTACGCAATTTTTTTTTTATTTATTTTATTCGACAATCTGTTCGGAAATATAAAGACGCTTATTTAAGAGGAAGAATCAGGCTGCAAACTTGATTTATCCATGAAGTTGTTAGAGTTATCCTTTTTGCCAAATAGAGGTATCAGCACACTGTCGTACACATAATTATGTTATCAAATCATATTAAATACTACACCACACTATATTATTTTGTCACTTAGAAATGAGTTGATATGAACTATCTATAGTGTTATCGATGTTGATCAATATATCAATTTAATTAATAATTATTGTCAGTGAGATATTAAAGATGTATTATACATTTTTTAAATAATGAAAAATTATGAAAAAATTACAAATTATTTTGGATTGTATTTAAAAATCATACAAAAAAAGATGGTAGCGATATAGAAGCGCCTGGATTAAAAATTATTTCGATATAAAAAGTAGTACTTTTTTATCTGTGTTTACCTATAGAAATGTAACATAATAAAGAAACATATTTGTAAAAATGGATATAATACATCCTTAAATAGAAATCAAGCATCATTTATTGTCACGAAACACGTAAAACGCTCTTTTAATGAATTTTAAAGAAGATAATTGAATTTATAGAAGAAATCACCTTTTTTCTTTTATTAAATCGTGCAGGTTACCAGTTAGAATTCCAGCTAAAGCGATCGCTGCGTAATAATCATTGAAATTTTCTTTTGTTAGTAGAAAATTGGCAGCTTTTTGAACAAGTGTTTCAGGTACCAGAACAACTCGATCGAACAAATATAACCTTATGTCTTTAAGAAAATTTTTATATCCTACATATACATTCTGGTTGGGAACAGTTAGTTTATAACATTTTTGTCTAACATTGTTGATTAAAAGATCTTGAACTGTAGTTTGGACCTCCTTAGGATTTGAAATGTTATATATATAATTTACAAATTAATTTTTAAAGTGGATACAATTGTTTTCATGAAATAAATTACATTTATTAGATCGAAACATGAAATTAATCACATAATAACTTACGATTATAGAAAAGCACTTATTCACTTACGATAATTTTTATATTTGGATTCCAGTTTCTGATAGCGATAGCAATAGTCATGGTTACTCCACAAGCATCGATCGTCGTCGGCAATATCACTGCATCAATTTTCTTTTCAAAATCTAATTGTTCAAAAATTTCTAGGCCCAAAGTAGCTTGGCCAATAATCATATTTGGATGATCGTTTCTATTAAAAAAATATCATAAAATAATTTGATCATGAAGACAATAATAAAATATATAAGATTATCAATATGTAAAAATTAATGTTTCTTTAAATTAACTACTTTTTCGAAATAGAATGAAATCTGTCACATAAAGAAAATAGAAATAATTGATGGATATATCATCTTTTAAGAATGTATTTTAATTAATAGCGAATTCGATTGGATGCACTCAATGTAAACTGGAGCACATTAAAACCATCGTACATAAATTAATGTAAAATTGTGTATTTAATATAAATATAAAAATATATTAAATCATAAAATTCGCAATACAGTTTATTATGTTGTTAAATAAAATCTATATTTTATAATTCAAAATACTTGCATTTTACTTTTACATAGTTTATTGACACAATATTCCAATTGATACAAATTAAAAGTAACATACATCAATGTTATAATCTCGTATTCTACAATGTAACTATTATATAACGCCATATATAATAACATATATATTGTAGTATTATATATATATTCTAGAGTGCGCAATTACAATATTGATGTTATATTATTTTTAATTTGTGTTTGGGATCAATATACGTCTAATATACACTAACACGCACTTAAGTAACTAAGATTCAAAATAGAGTACCCGTCAAGGTAACATAAACCTTTTGTCCTGGCAATTTGCAAAGCGATATTATGTACTTCTATTATATTGTCACCCTGAGCAATTACTGTTGCTCCCAAATATTGACACTTATCAACTATTTCCTGTGCCGTTGATTTCTGCATCACTACTGTCACTGGTACTCTAAACTTCTGTCCAAAATAACAAAGAGTTTGAGCGAAATATCCCGTTGAGATTGCTATGACACCGTTGCGTTTCTGCTTATTAGTTAGCTGTAGCAGAGTATAAATCACACCGCGTGCTTGGATGCTATTCATATGTTGATCAAGCTCTTTCTTGAAATAGACATGGATCCCTATTTTTCTCAATAATGAACTCTGAATCAATCAAATTAGATTCGATTAAAAATCGTCCTTAAAAAATTCTTTATAAATATTTTACGTTATATAATATTTGGATCAAAGTCACACCCAGTATCAGTTAAAAGTTTAGACTTATATAAAAACAACTGTAATCTAAAAAAAGACGAAAATATATAATGTACAACAAATTTATTGCATGTAAAAACTACATTTGAACATAATTTAAATTTTTTCTTGAAGAAAAACTTGTAACAAAAATAAACATTTTGTAGTAATCTAATTTTTAAGTTTTGACACAGTCATTAACTTATTTTCATCGATAATACATGTATCTTCCCAGTAAAAAATGACCGTCAATTTGACGTCGAATTCAGTCATTTCTCATTGAGTTCCTCGGACTTTTATAACAGCAGCACAAATTTTTAACATCCTTTTTATTAGTTTAAACAATATTTTCATTGGAATAGTTTCTTAGGCAGTTTTTAGAAAAGCTTAAAGAATGTTATTTCATTCTTTGTTCAGATCCAATTCTCTGACCCAGTGGCTATGTTTTTAGAAAGCATATAATATATATATCTCAACATATAATATAGATGGGGTGAAAAGTAACCTCCTTGACCGCCAGAATGCGCCACTACTGCAAAAAAGTTTATGGTGCCTTGTAGTCCGTTCATATTTAGGCAGACATGCCAAGTGGCAGTGCGATACTGCCCTTAGTTTTGTTTTGAGAGCTGATTGTTGTTGACGTGTTTGCGAAAACGATTTTCGTTCTCTCATAAAACATTATTTTTTGAGAGGCAAAACGGCGAAGGAAACAAAAGAAAAGTTGGATAAATATTATGTGGCTAATACTCCGTCAGATTACACCGTCAAATATTGGTTTCGAGAGTTTCGTGGTGGCCGCAACTCCACTACCGATGAAGTCCGCAGCGGCAGGCCCTCCGATGCGGTTACCGAGGAAAATGTCAAAAAAATACATGAAATGGTGTTGGCTGACCGGAAAGTGAAGGTGCGCGAGCTAGCAGATGCTGCTAAAGATTAGTACTGAGCGAACACGCCATATTTTGGGCGAGATTCTGCATAAGAAAAAAATTTTTTTCATTCCCAAGGAGGTTACTTTTCACCCCACCTAGTATATTATAGCATATAATATATATCTCATATGCTATATCTCAACAACTTGCAACAATATTACACGTTGTAGTAATATTGTAGCAATATTGCTACAAATTTTTTGCTGTTATCATTTCCATTATACCAAACTCGCTTTTGAAAAATCGAAAATTCCAAACTTTTTTGACCGATATGTATATATATTAGGTGTTGGAATTAATTCGTAGCGTTTGTGAGAAACACAAGCAAATCATTATTTGAAGTAATTCATAAATTTGACTTAATTTATTATATACAATTTATTTCAATCTGTAATTGGATTAATTTTAAATCACTTATTAAAATGGGAAATTATATTTGCATATATTTGATATTTTTTTATTTTTTTATTTTGGTAGGTATATTATTAAGATATATTAAAGTTAAGATTATTGAAGCTTTTAGAGTAAAGTACTTATATTCTTCGAACAACTAGTTTTGCTTAAAATTTGAAACAAAGAATAGTTAAATTAAGAAAGTTTTATGGAATTAATTACCTCAGAGATTGGTGTTTTAAAAATATATTCTCTTATTTGAAATAGTGCCGATCTGATGCTCTCGAACGAAATATGTTTTTGTCTTGATTTGATCTGTAAGCCCAGTTCTATTATATGCTACAAAAAAAGTACATTAGCAAATTTATATTTTTGCACGTTTCATGAATATTACTCCGAACAGAATATATTTGAGACAGAAAAAATATTATTCTCGAATTTTTTATAACTACTTTCGAAATATGGAAATATTATCATACATACACATGCATGCATATATTATGCAATAAGTATTGAATTTTAAAATTATGATTGATTAAATTTGCAATACCCAGAAATGGATTCTTCCTGATGGTATTCGTCGATATATTGGTAAAACTATAGTATAAGGAAATGGGAAGACATTGATTTCTTTCTTTGCCTTTCTTTCCATTCTTTTGTTTATTTCTCAATGAACACAGATTTGGAAAATAAAAAGTTACTTATTCGATGAAAATCACTTGATACGTAATTGCAAGTAATTTATAGTGTCAAGGAATAACGTCAAGCTTGATTTAACTCTCGTCAGAAACTAATCTCTCCCTTGTCAAGAACAGATGTTATTTACTTATACTTGTTATTAACAACTCATTCAACCTTTTTCGAAGTTTTGGTTTTTTTTTTAATAGCTATCACGATATATGATATATATATATATATATATATAATAAGGAATATTAAAAAGAAACTAGGAGAGATTACCTTGAAAAAATATCTTAGCAAAATGTACTTGTAATAGTTATATGAATATTAAATAAATTACAAATTATAATGTTCAAAGTTTATATAAAGCAATAATGATATGTTTTGTTAAGTTTATATTATTTCCATAATATTATATATTATCAATATATAATATTATACAATCATTTTATAAATCTTTCCAAAACTGCAAGACATGAAGTAAATGTATATCTAAAAGCCATCAAAATACAAACAAGAAAAATTATCGTCGGTCATTTTATTTTAGACAAAATAATATGAATATTCTTACGATGGGAAAATAGGAAAAGACAATGTAAAAATTTAAGCAAATCAGTACAGTATGAAAAAAATTTATTCAAGTTTTGTCTTGCAGAAAAAAAGATTGATATTTGTTCCATATAAAAAATTTATTACTGCTAATTAAGTACACTGTACTCTGGATTTAGTTGCTATAATCGAGCTCAACTATGCCTTCGGAATCATTGTCATCATATGTTATACATCCAAGGAGGAAATCCTTGTTCTTCTGATCCATTTTTGTAAGCATTTTTTTGCGAAAGTGGTATATGGTCAATAATATCGTGTACAATCTAGCAGAAAAAATTATATTATTCGTGTATATATATATATATATACATATATATATATATACATATTTGTGTGTGGCTTAATTATCAAATTTTAAATAAATAAACCTCGGGACTTTATTGCCACATGACGCTATACCTCACTCATACTCAATTCCTTTTTTTTAAATAATGTTTCCGTAGTACTTCTCTGCATCCTAATGGCGGACTCGAAATACTACTTCTGAGTTTTGAATCTTTGTCTTCTTTTACTAACTGCAATCTATAAAAAATTTGTTTACATTTGATCATGAATCTCTTTTTAAGATTATCATCTGAATATTAATCATTTTCATATATTTTCGAAGAGAGAGAGAGAGAGAGAGAGAGAGAGAGAGAGAGAGAGAGAGAGAGAGAAATCATCCTTCGATTCATTTCTACTGGTTAATAGCACATTTTCAATGGAATTCATTGTTAATCGCGTTTTTTTTTCGTTATGATTTGCAACAGGTTGTGCATCAAATTATGTGCTTCTAGCGATTGAGCGATATGTTTTATTAATTCCTGAGAAAATTAGTGTAACAATTTCGCATTCTGATTTTTTAGGACTTTTAGAATCAAAACATTTATCTCCATGACTTTTTTGAATCGAAGAAATATTATCTACGTTACTTCTTGTAATAATATTTTTTAAATTTATGCACCAAAGTGCTATAATCATGATGATATTAACGAATAATTGTATGTGAATTGAAACATATTCTGTGACTAACCTGATATAATGTGTAGAATCTATTGCCATTGCTTTTGCATAATGGAATGCAATTGTTGTCTTCATATGTTGTGCATTGTCAAATTTTCTATCACTTTGTTATTTACGAATTTTTTATCATTAGAATATTACTAATATTATAAATTTCAATTTTTCACGAAATATATAAAGTGTTTTGTTTAGAACGGCACATTAGTATACATATAAAACAAATAAAATTTTTTTAAACTTAAATAAAATTCCGAGTTAAAACAACGCGTGTCGTGGAGAAACATTTAATCAAAATTCTCATATAAGTGGTGAAATTTGTAGATATGTCTTCAATTTTTTACAATTTTTATCAATTATTATTATCAATATTCTTTTTATTATCAATATTCTTTTTTAAATAATTTTTTGTTATTTTAAATTTTTGAATCTGATTGCCTCGCGTATATGTACACTCAAATCGAACGTAATATTGTTTGTTGACGAGAATAATAATCCACAGCAAGGAAGTATCTCTTTCTTATCAATTTTTATTGAAATGATATCAGATGCGACGAAAGGTCCAGAAGAAAGGAAGTCCAATCTGGCTCGAATGTCTGTTCTACAATAAGATCGTAAACCGTAAGTCGTAAGAAATTAACCAATAGTCGATTATTTTTTTCGTATTTAATTGCAATTGGCTAATTTCTTACGGCTTATGACTTGCGACCTATTGTAGAACAGGCATTAGAAAGAAGGAGGAATATGATGAAACGAATAAAGTAAGTGGTCAATTTTGAGTATAAAGTATGTGGAATATAAAGTAATGTACAAAATTATATTTTATTTGATTTTCTCTATATTTTCTTCTATTTTCTCGTATATGTACGAGACTGGAAAAACTCCATTTACATTCTAATCGCGCATGTATATTTGAAACTCTAATTCTTAGATTTATCGCTTGAGTAGATTTCAGGTATTCTATTGGATTAATTAACAAATTGGTTCCCCTAGTAAGTCGTGTGTCGCATTGTGGTTTTAATTAAAGATTTTTTTTTATAAAGTGTTGCAATATACGTGTAGATAGATAAATGGATAGAGAAAAATACGGGCAAGTAGGAATATAAACTGGAATACGGGTAGGTAGAAGTATAATAATTTGAATTGAAATTTAGAGTTAAAAGATATAATAATTATAAATATATAAGATATGATAATTGTAAGTATGATATATTTATTATTATTGTATTAAATATTAAATTATGTATTATTATCAAATATTATTATCAAATATATAACAATAATAATAACTGCATCTGTTATTATATTTTTAATAATAATAACAACTTAAAAATTATGTTATTAATTTTAAATTAATTCTTAGAGACAATGTAACATATTACATATTTTTGCAAATATTATGTATTGTAATTGTAATTTATATAACAATAATTGTATATTATTATGTGTTATTTGCATAATATAATTGGAAATAATACTATGTATTGTAATTGTAATAATAATTGTAAATAATGTTTATTATGTAATTGGATGCAATTAATAAGCTAAAGATTGATTGACATTTAATGAATATTCGTTTTGGGAGAGGTCTCTAAAATTTTTTTGTTACCAAAAGATTGTTAATAAATGCGGAAAATACTGTATTCAAAATTCCGTATTAAAAATTATAATTTATGTAACATGTATTATAATAATTAATTGAAGACAATGGCGGTATGTATATACAATTTTTGTTCACGAAATTTAACATTCATGTTTTAAATATCACGATGTGACAAGTAAATTTAATATATTTTTGCGAAGTTGCAAATTTTATATTAGAGTTTGTTATATACAGAATTCGCGAAACGCCTTATTTCATCTCGGTCTTATGATGAAAAATATTTGTCAAGCTTATAATATTAAATATTTATTAATCAAATTCTTAAATTATGTTTCATATTAAATATGTTAAATTGTTAGAAGTTACTGCAAATACATTATTTTCACGTTCATACATGTGATTGTTGAGGCTTTGTCGCTGTTCTTTGTCAAGTAAACATTAAGAAATCTTTCTAGGTAGCAAACAAACGTTTTTATCATCAATATGTTGTCATAAGTGTCATCTTAAAATCAAAATGATGATAAATGATATTAGCTTTCTACCTGGATTGTAATTCGTACCGACGGAGAGTCGTAATAATTTTTGAGCTATTTTTCATCAATTCTCGTCAATTTCCATAGGATCTATTCGAGATGCCTAGTTCGATCATCATCGAACCTCATTGAATCTGGGGCTTCTCATTGCATGGCTGAAATTAATCTTGAGTTTTCTTGACATTTTCTGGAAGTATTATAGTGATTTCAGCAATGAATTATCGACAATAATAATGCAATTTTTTTAAAATTGAGTAACAAAATCGATTACATACAATATATTTTGAGAGAGAATTTTATTCTTTTCATTAAATATTCTTTCATTAATTAACATTAATGTGCTTTGATAATAAAAAGGTTTAACGGATTGAACGTGAATAGCAATTGTGTATAGAAAAATGAATTTAAATAAACTGATATTTGTAAATAGTCATTTCTTGTAACTTTTTTAAGAAAAAAATGTGATTACAATGAATATATCTTTTTATTTTAACCTTTAGTTTCTTTTAAGAAACTATTTTCAGGCACTGGATGTCTTTCTATTCCAGAAAATTGATTAATTTTTAAATTTTCCAGAACATTAATTAATTCTTAAATATTTTAGATTATTTATATAATGAAATACATACGCAGTGAATATATTATGTAAATTTTTAGCTTTTATATGTCTAATAAAATTTTATTTAAAAAATTTATATTTATTTGAATAAATTATTGAATAAATTATTATGGATAAATATAATTATATAAAAATGTGCGGGTACTTAATATATTCAAGACGAATCGATTGGGTATCCTGATATCCAAGATTTTCAAAATTTTAATTATCAAAATTATATCAAATATTTAGATAATCTTGTTTAATTATTTGATTGTATTTAATAAAATATTACAGAGAAATGAAAACAATGTGAATCTTATACCTCTAAATATAATACATATTTGATTATGAAATCAAATCAATTTTAATTGAAATCTTATTGTTATCGGTTCGATTCGCTTCGAACAGTTGGTACCGGAAAATTTTTGTATTTCATTTAAATAAGTATAATAAAGATGTATATATTTCATTACTTCAAAATATAATCATTTGTAATCACTCTTCAATAGGAATCGTTCTATCCATGTTTTTATTAATAAAACGCTGTATTTAATAATGAAAGAATTTTTTTTTTGTGTAAATCTTGATCTTGTGTACTAAAAAATTAAAATGAATATCTATTAAATTACCATCAAATTATTTGGGAATTGCATTACACTTGCATTATTCAAAAATGTGAAAAAAGATTGTTAACTTACTATCGAAATAGCTACTCAAGAGCAGTCCAGAAAATTTGGGATTCGTTTCTTCCTGCAGTGCGGAGTTTTTGGTGTTCAATGAATCATTTAATTTTTCTTTGCAGATTAATCTCGTAGAACTTGAAAGAAGCAGAGCACAATCCCACATGCAGATTCTTCTCTTCTAATATGTTACTCGACAGAGAGACTTGATCTGATCGAATTATTGAGGCAGTTATCTTGTATTAAATGCGGTGATAACGCGATTCTTGATTTTGTTAATAAAATCTATTTTACCGTTGAAAGTAAAGGGCGAATTAGAATTCATGTGATTAAATATATCGTCTGGTTTATTTGATTGTTTATCATTAAAATATGTAGTTGCGATATCAAAACATTTTATGTTTGTCAAATGACATGTATTATTGTGTAGAAAAATACATATATAATAAATTTATTAACAATCTTTTTGGTCGCGATTGCTCGCATAAATTAAATAAAGCAAAATAATTTGCATTTGCTATCAGATAATTAATAAGAAACGTTACATAATAATCATTTAATTTTATTATCTATGTTTCACATTGCATCATGATAAAATCGTGTTATTATGTGCATACCGATGTGTTATGTGTAATTTTACATTACAAAGAAATTATGTATATATTTCTATTGTATATTTTCAATTTTATATTGTAATTCTTTTGTAATGTATTATATATAATATAAAATAAATTCTATAAAAAATAATATAAATAATAAAAATGTTAAAAAATGTACAAATGAAACATACAGAAAAGGTAACTTTGATCTATAGTTAAAATATTATTTGTTTAAATTTTAAAAAATGCTTAGACAAAACGCATATCTAAAATTAAAACTTAAAACTTCTTTAAAACATTTTAAGATATTTTAAATTCAGATTTTGACATGTGTGCTGTGCAAGCATTTTGATGTCGTAACAGTAAGCAGACCACAGTTAAAAAATGGTACAATATTCTCTTTCGTTGCTTCTCCATTCTTAAATTTTTGTTTCTTTCTCAATCGCAAAATGGATATGTAAAATAAAAAATTACTTTTCAACGGAAATCACTTAAGTTGTAACAGATAATCAAGGGAATATCGGATTTAACTCTTGTCAAAAACGAATTTCTTCTCTCCTGGATAACTTATTTGTCATCAACAACTCATTTTTCATCCTTTCTCGAAATCTTTATTTCTAATTTAATAAGTTGTATTTATAAATTTCGACAAACCAAGTTTATTCAATGTATAATGAGAAGGATAATTCAGGATTACTTTTGTTACAAGAAATAATAATTATTTTAGAGTAAATTTATTTATTTATCAAATAACATAAACATTTATATGAAATTAAATGATAGTCAATATTTAAAAACCGGTTAATATGATCAAGTTAAGAAGTACGTCATATCCATTATGATTTTTCTGTTTGCTAAGTATGCCTTTAGTTGACTACAATTGTGCTAGACATCAAAACTAATAAATATTTGTGTGATAAAAATCATGTTTATACACATTTAAAAAATGTTTAAATATACAATATACAGATTTAGAAATTTACGTTTTTTTTTTAATGCGGCATATGACGTCCATTATTATTGTGGTATAATTGAAAATTTCCAACATTGAATTTTTACAGTATTATATCTGATATACCGTTACGGGATATTGTTGATAAAATTATTTCGTCATTTAGTATCCAATTTAGAAACATCGTTTCTTTCATAACTTTGATTGAATTTTTTTTCGAGCTATGTGACTTGTTCTATATTTTTTATTTTATCTATTTATGGAAGATACACAATTTTCTTTATAACTCGGCTTTCTGTCAGATTTATTTAAAATCAAATTTAGATATGTAGAATGCCTCGATTGTATGAAATCAGCGCGAGATCACATTGTCTAAAGGTACGTCTATCTATTACAAAATCTTCTGTACTCAAATCCATTCTACCGTATAAAGGTATTACTATCCTAGCGCGTACCAAAAAAATTATAATGTCATTTTATAATATTATTAAATTGAGACTTAAATTGCATATAGTGCGTTTACATTACAATTATAAAATATATAAAACGCGTTGCTACGAAATTAATAAATTAATAAATTCGAAAAAATTATTAAATTTATAAAAGAAGTTACCTTTTTCCCTTTAGATCATCAAGATGACCAGATAAAATTGCAGCTAAAGCAATTGATCCATAATAATCGTAGTAACATTCAAAATTATGTAGATGCATAGATGCAGAATGAATCAACTCTGGAGTTACCGAAATAAACCTGTCGATCACGCAATACGGCATGTTTCTTAAAGGACACGCCATGTACTCTTTCGTAGGAATATTCAATTCTTTAGGTGAATCCGTTTGTTTTTTCACTTCTTGAAATAAATCAAAATTTGTACCTTGAACTTCCTAAGAATTAAGATTATAATTCAAATAATTTATCTAAGTGAATACAATCTTTTTCTTAATATATTAATTAGTGAAACAATAATATATAAATTATATATATAGAAGAGCTATTAACTTACAATAACTGTTATTTTTGAATTGCATCCTTTAATAGCTATTGCAATAGCTGTTGTTAATCCGCAACCTTTAATTGTTGTCGGCAAAAGTACCACATCAATTTGACTTTGTTGCCGCACGATTTCTATGCCTAAGGTGGCTTGACCAATAATCATGTTTGGATGATCGTTCCTATCGTTCGAAGAAATATTAAATAATTCACTCAAGAACTTATTATTAACAAAATGAGTATATCTTTTGTGGCAATAAATATGATGAGAAAGCTATTAATTAATGACCTTCAAATTAACTAATTTTTGAGTGATAAAATTAGAAGCATACAGAAAATAGGTATATAATATTGATGCAAATATTATTTTTTAACGAAAAAGGTATTTTTACTTAATACGAATAGCAAATTCGTATATGGGATGGGATGCACTAATAGTGCATATTAAAGCCATAGCATACTGACTTAATTTAAGTATAAAAATAAAATATAAATATTTTAAATGATAAAAAAACATATATTTTTAATAACATACAATATTTTAAAACAATGTGGTACAGAAGAAGGGCAAAGAGCCAGTAATGTAGCAAAGAATTTTAATTTTAATTAGCATTAAAAATTCATATAAACAATTACAATTGGCAACAAACGTTTCGACTCCAATCGAGTCATTTTCAATGTAGCCGTAATATTTCAACATCGTTCTAAACCAAAAATATGTACATGGTATTACAATACTATCATAATTTTTAATCCCATATTCATCATTCCGTGTAATATACTGCGAGTCATTTTTATCAAAAATCAAAGTATATAAATCGTAAAAAAATTCTTATCAGTAATATCAATAGATGTATTAAGAATCCATAAATAAAAAGAGAGGAAAAAACGCAAGTAAATAGCAGTCCATTTCGTGGTACAATATATTGTTTTTTTTTAGCTATATAAATTATTTGCAAATTTGCAAAAGTAATGAACATCTAACTTTCACGATGTCAGATAACAAAATGCGCATGAAAGTTAGTTACTATATGGAATGATGAATACAGGATTAAAAATTATGATAGTATTGTAATACCATGTACATATTTTTAGTTTAGAACGATGTTGAAATATTACGACTACATTGAAAATGACTCGATTGGAGTCGAAATGTTTGTTGTCAATTGTAATTATTTATATGAATTTTTAATGCTAATTTAAACTAAAGTTCTTTACATTACGGCTCTTTGCCATTCTTTTGTACCACATTGTTTTATACGTACAGAGCCTTACTATTTATTACTATTTATTAATAACATTTTAACATGTATTAAGGATTTCGCAATTAATTTAATCTATTTTTATATTTATATTAAACACATTTTATGTCAACTTAATCAACGCACAATATTTAAAAAATAATTGTTAATTATTTATTACATGTAAAAATATTAATTAAACACTTAAAAAATATTTTTTTAATATTGTATGCTAATTGCGAATTTGGGTACGATGATTTTAACACGCACCAGTAAATTAATGCGTTCAATCAAATTTTCATAAAATTTTGTTAAAGAAGAATACCCATCAAGATAAAATAAGTCTTCCCTCATAGCGATATCTAAAGCGTTATAATGAGCTTCTAGTAAGGTATCACCTCTGACAATCACTCGCGATAATGGATATGTTTGATACATTTTGATTTTTTCTTCTAGCGTTGTTGTCGGCAGCACCACTGTCACCGGTATTTTAAATCGATGTGTATAATGACAGAGAATAAATGCAAAGCTGCCCGATGAGATTGTTACGACACCTTTGCATTTCTGCTCTTTTGATAGGTGTAGCAGACTGTAAACCACACCGCGTGCTTTGATGCTATCGGTAACTTGATAAAGTTCTTTCTTCAGATAAATATTGAAACCCCTTCTGTTGAATATGCGTTCGCTCTAAAGCAATCATATTACATTCGATTAATATTCTTAAAAGATTCTTTATTTATATTTTGCATTGTAAGAGAAAGAGAGGAATATAGGGATTAAATTGAAATTTTTTTGTTCTACAATTTATGTATATAATATACGATAAGATTATTATTTAAAATAGTTTTTAAATTGTAAATTGTTAATTTGCAATAACAATGCAATATAACTAAAAAACGAAATTTTCCAGAAAATGAATTCAAATATTTTGAATTATTAAAATTTTTTAACATTAATTTTGAAATTTTGCAATTTTTATGTAATAACTGATTATAGAGCGTTAAAAGTACATTTTTTCTGATTTATACGTTCCCATTTCTTTTTTACAAGTAGATAAAAAATAACAATTTTTCGATTATATTATCGTTGTAGCAAATATCTATAACATATAATTTATTTTGATTTATCGTTATAATTATATTTTAAGTCTTTTTAATATACAAAATGAAAAAATGTACTTTTTATACTAATTAATAGATCTTATTTTTCAAAATATGTAAATATCATTTATATACACTTGTGTATAAATGATACTTACATATTTTGAAAACTACGGCTCGTATAATTTTGTGATTGTACTTTCAAAGCATCCATAAATTTATAAATATTTCAGATTATTGATGTGTATCAATTTTATTAAAAGTGTTAAGAATTAAACTTTATAATATTATTTATTACCTGGAAGCAAGGTGTTCTCAAAATGTGTCCTTTTAGAAAAGACCTTGCCTGTTCGATTGTGACATATGAAATTTCATATTCTTTTCCAGGCGCTGATTTATTATATCCCTTTTCAATTATGTTCTACAAAAAAAATTAAACTACCTTGCGTATTTATCTTTTCAACATTTCACTGAATGTATACAATATAATATATAGCGTATTGCAATTATTACTTCGGATAATGCAAATAAATCATTAGTATATTAATATCGAATGGAGAAAGAATTATATGTTCTTTAATACAATTAATTTCAAAATATAGGAATTGTATCATATTTATATCTAAATTTTTGGAATGGAATTTCACTCTAAAGAGTAAAAAATTGATCCATTCTTGAAAAAGAGTGGTCCAATTTTCAATCTATGAAAATGGAATTTCACTCGTTAAAGTGAGATTCACTCTAAAAGTTTTAGACAGTACGCGTAAAAGTATAATTATGTACAATCTGCATAGCAACATATAATTGATGAATATTTAGCTTTGAAATTAAGTGACTGTCAAAATCTAAAATTATACCCATGCCAAATTATAGCCTTGCCGTTTCAAGGTGCGGGCCACAGTATAAGAAAACTTCAACACATTAGTCTTTATCGATTGCATTGTTGCCTCCATCGATTGTATTGCTGTTTCCATCGATTGTATTGCTATTTCCGTGGATTCCCTTGCTGATTCCGTCGATTCCCTTGCTGTCTCCGTCGATTGCATTGATGTCTCCATCGATTGCATTGCTGTCTCCGTCGATTGCATTGCTGTCTCCTTCTGTTCCTTCTGCTTTTTTTTCTTTGGCGACATGAACATGTTGAAAATTAAAAAATTGAGAATCACTTGCAATTACGGACAAACCACGCTAATTAAAGGATAATGTCGAACTCGATTTTAATTATCGTCTTTGAATACAAGTCGTTTCTCGCAAAGAATTGATCAACTTGTCGTCAATAATAAATACATGTATCATTCGCTCTTTTCTAAAGTTCTTTTGTTTTCTTTTTCTATAATAAAAGAAGAAATGGAAGGAAAAAAGGAGAGAAAGAGAGAATAGATGTATATGTATTTTGTCTGTATAAACTTTGCAATCAACCAATGACACTCGATAAATAATAAATATTTATATTCCTTTTCCCCTTCTATATCTATATAATCTTCATTTTTAAAATCTTTAAACTTTGATTTTATTTTTTCATATTTTAATTTATTACTGTTAATGAAATTTTACAATATCTGTTTAATTATTGAGAGATGATTTTACTTGTCTCTCCCTCTCTCTTTAAGTTCGAAAAATAACTTTTATTATTCTTTAACGTAGGAATGAAGATAAAAATATTTTTGTAAATATGTAAAATATTATAAATGTCAGCTTTATTGTATATATCGCTTTTTTTCTCAAATTAGTAAAAAAATGTGTCGTAAGAAATCATTATTTTTTGTGTCAATCCCTGATTGCTAACAGCAAAAGTAAAAATTGCCCGATTTATATAATCAAAATATACATATTTTTCAATTTCATATATGTTTCTTTAGAACGCATCAAGTATGTTTAACCTACATATATACACTTTTATTACTAGTTTTTTTGTTCAAGAGATGAAGGAATGCTGAAATTAATAAAAATTATTTTTCTACGTGTACTAATATTTTATTTTTTTATTATATACCACATGCTAAGAGAATACAATACGTATATTTCTTATTAGTTATACATTTTGTGCTATTCGTTCGTACATAGTTATACTAATCATTCAAAGTGGAAAAACATATATATATGTATATATCAGTTAATTTTGGAAAAAAATGTTATATATGGACATACATTATTGTTAAAATGTTTTATATATAACATATTTTTTATAATATGATATATTTTATATATAATTTTATATATTATATTGTATAATCAATAATTTAATTCAATTTTTTATATAATTGTATATAATTATATATTATATAATTATGTGTAATTATTGATCTGCTTTCTGTTTCTACATTAGACAGCACTAGAATTCTCTATAGTTAAACAATTTATACATTATAGTTTCACTATAACAGTATAGTTTCACTCACAGTATAATTTCGATAACTCTCAGATATATATATACTTATATATACATACTTATCTCACTTTAAGTTCCAAAGTTCAGCCACAGAAGATATACTTTATATTAACATTTTTTTCTCGATTATATTTCATTTTAAATCTAATTTTAAAACGATTAAAGTAACATCAACATTTATATAAAATTAAATGGTACAGTCAATATTTAAAAACCGGTTGATATGATCAAATTAGAAAAGTACGTCATGTCCACTATGACGTACTTCTCAATTTCTGTTTGCTAAGTATGCCTTTAGTTGACAATTTTGCTAGACATCAAGATTGGTAAATATTTGTGTAATACTAAACAATCATGTTTATACACATTTAAAAAATTTTTAAATATATACAGATCTTAAAATTTTTGTTTGTTTAATGCGGCATACGACGTTCATTATTATTGTGATATAATTAAAAATTTTTAATATTACACCGGATTACATTAAATTTTTTTTAATATTATATCTGATATATCGATACGGGATATTGATGATAAAATTATTTCGTTATTCAGTCTCCAATTTAGAAACATCGTCTTTTTCGTAACTTTGATTGAGTTTTTTTCGAACTGACTTGTTCTATATTTTTGATTTTATCTGTTTATGGTACACAATTTTCTTTATAATTCGACTTTCTGTCAGATTTAAAATCAAATTCGGAGAGGTAGAATGTTTAGATCGTGTGAAATCAGCTCGAGATGATATTGTCTAAAGATACATCTATCTATTGTAAAATCTTCTTCACTCAAATCCATTCTACCGTATAAAGGTATTACTATCCTAGCGCGTACCAAAAAAATCATAATGTCATTTTATATAATATTATTAAATTGAAACTTAAATTGCATATAATACATTACAATTATAAAATATATTAGGTGTTGGAATTAATTCGTAGCGTTTTACAAGTGATGGGAAGTACTTTCATTAATGTATTTTTTAATGCTCATGTGAAATAAATAACATTCTTTCATTAAAAAACGCTACGAATTAATTCCAACACCTAATATAAAACGCGTTGCTACGGAATTAATAAATTAATAAATTCGAAAAAATTATCGAATTTATAAAAGAAGTCACCTTTTTCCCTGTAGATCATCAAGCTGACCAGATAAAATTGCAGCTAAAGCAATTGCTCCATAACAATCGTAGTAACATTCAGACTTGTGTAGATGTATAGATGCAGAATGAATCAACTCTGGAGTTACCGAAATAAACCTGTCGATCACGCAATACGGCATGTTTCTTAAAGGACACACTACGTACTCTTTCGTAGGAATATTCAATTCTTTAAGTGAATCCGTTTGTTTTTTCACTTCTTGAAATAAATCAAAATTTGTACCTTGAACTTCCTAAGAATTAAGATTATACTTCAAATAATTTATCTAAGTGAATACAATCTTTTTCTTAATATACTAATTAGTGAAACAATAATATATAAATTATATATATAGAAGAGTAATATATATAAATTATATATAAATTATATATATATATAATGTAACTTACAATAACTGTTATTTTTGAATTGTATCCTTTAATAGCTATTGCAATAGCTGTTGTTAATCCGCAATTTTTAATTGTCGTCGGCAAAAGTACCACATCAATTTTACTTTGTTGCTGCATAATTTCTATGCCCAAAGTGGCTTGACCAATAATCATGTTTGGATGATCGTTTCTATCGAAGAAATATTAAATATCACTCAAAAACTTATTATTAACGAAAGGATCGAACGAATATCCTTTGCGGCAATATAATGGAACATGATAAGAAAACAATTAATTAATATCCTTCAAATTAATTATTTTTCGAGAGATACAATTAAAAGCATACACAAAATAGTATATAATATTGATGAAAATATGATTTTTTAACAAAAAGGTATTTGCACTTAATACGAATAACGAATTCGATGGGATGCACTAGTAGTGCATATTAAAGCTATTGTACACTGACTTAATCTGGATATAAAAATTAAATACAAATATTTTAAATGATAAAGAACATATATTTTTATTTAATAGAATAACCCAGTAAAAAATTTTTTATGCATGAATATGTATAAATATGTATAAACATACATAAATATTCAAACGTGTATAATTATATATGAAATATGTCCATACATGTTCATACATCCTTCTCTGTCTCTTTCTCTCTTTCTTTTGTAAAATTACTTTTTAGTGTAATAGAAATGATAATAGTAATGTGGAAACATAAAGAATAATTAAAGGAATAATTTTCGCATTGTTATAGAAAAAAACAAGTTTGAAAAAATGTAAAAAAAATTGCTCATACATTATTGCTCATAATTATTATAAGAATTTTATATATTAGGTGTTGGAATTAATTCGTAGCGTTTTTAATGAAAGAATGTTATTTATTTCACATGAGCATTAAAAAATACATTAATGAAAGTACTTCCCATCACTTGTAAAACGCTACGAATTAATTCCAACACCTAATATATAAATACGTAAGTAATTTTTTACATTTCTTCAAACATAATTTTTTTTAAAACAAATAGTGCGAAAATTACCTTTTTAATTATTTTTAATGTTTTTACATTACTATTGTTATTTCTTATACTAAAAAGTAATTTTACAAAAGAAAAATATATACACGTATAAACATATTCCATATATAATTATATATGTATGTTTATGAATATTTCATAATTTGCAATGAATGCGTCCAATCGAATTTTTTATAAGATTTTGTTAAAGGAGAATACCCGTCAAGATAAAACAAGTCTTCTCTCATGGCGATATCTAAAGCAGCACGATGAGCTTCTAGTAAATTATTACCCCTGACAAGCACTCGTGCTAATAGATACCCTTGACACATCTCGATTTTTTCTTTTGCCGTTGTTGACGGCATCACCACCGTCACCGGTATTTCATTATGATGTGCATAATGACAGATAGTAAATGCAAAGCTGCCTGATGAGATTGTTACGACACCTTTGCATTTCTGCTCTTCTGATAGGTGTAACAAACTGTAAATCACGCCGCGTGCTTTGATGCTATCGGTAAATTGATAAAGTTCTTTCTTCAGATAAATATTGAAACCCCTTTTGTTGAGTATGCGTTCGCTCTAAAGCAATCATATTACATTCGATTAATATTCTTAAAAGATTCTTTATTTATATTTTGCATTGCAAGAGAAAAAGAGAGGAATATAGAGATCAAATTGAAATTTTTTTGTTCTACAATTTATGTGTATAATGTACGATAAGATTATTATTTAAAATAGTTTTTAAATTGTAAATTGTTCATTTGCAATAACAATATGCAATATAACTAAAAAACGAAATTTTCCAGAAAATGAATTCAAATATTTTGAATTATTAAAATTTTTAACATTAATTTTGAAATTTTGCAATTTTTATGTAATAACTGATTATAGAGCGTTAAAAGTACATTTTTTCTTATTTATACGTTCCCATTTCTTTTTTACAAGCAGATAAAAAATAACAATTTTTCAGTTATGTTATCGTTGTAGCAAATATCTATAATATATAATTTATTTTGAATTATAGTTATAATTATATTTTAAATCTTTTTAATATATAAAATGAGAAAATATACTTTTTATACTAATTAATAGATCTTATTTTTGTATACACTCGCGTATAGATACTTATAAATTTTGCGAAATATGGATTGCACTTTTTTGTGAGAAATACGGATTGTACATTGCACTTTTGTAATTGTACTTTTAAAGCAATCATAGCGAAATATTTATAAATATCTCAGATTATTGATTTGTACTAATTTTATTAAAAGTGCTAAGAAATTTACACTTTAAAATGTTATTTATTACCTGGAAGCAAGGTGTTTTCAAAATACGTCTGTTTAGGAAAGACGCCGCCTGTTTGATTGTGACATATGAAATTTCATATTCTCTTCCGGGCGCTGATTTATTATATCCCTTTTCAATTACTTTCTACAAAAAAAAATTAAACTACCTTGCGTATCTTTTCCACATTTCACTGAATGTACACAATATAATATATAGCGTATTGCAATTATTACTTCGGATAATGCAAATAAATCATTAGTGTATTAATATCGAATAGAGAAAGAGTTATATGTTCTTTAATACAATTAATTTCAAAATATAGGAATTGTATCATATTCTCTAATTTTTAGAATGGAATTTTACTCTAAAAAGTGAAAATTGATCTATTCTTGAAAAAGAGTGGCTCAATTTTCAATCTATGAAAATGGAATTTCACTCGTTAAAGTGAAATTCACTCTAAAAGTTTTAGACAGTACGCGTAAAAGTATAATTATGTACAATCTGCATAGCAATATATAATTGATGAATATTTAGCTTTGAAATTAAGTGACTGTCAAATCTAAAATTATACCCATGCGCAATTATAGCCTTGCCGTTTCAAGGTGCGGGCCACAGTATAAGAAAACCTCCACACATTCGATGTCATAGTCTCCATCGATTGCATTGCTGTCTCCATCGATTGCATTGCTGTTTCCATCGATTGCATTGCTGTTTCCGTCGATTGCCTTGCTGTCTCCATCGATTGCCTTGCTGTCTCCGTCGATTGCATTGATGTCTCCGTCAATTGCATTACTGTCTCCTTCTGTTTCTTCTGCTTTTTTTTCTTTGGCGACATGAACATGTTTAAAATTAAAAAATTGTACGAGAATCACTTGCAATTACAAATGCTAATTAGAGGGTAATGTCGAACTCGATTTTAATTATCATCTTTGAATACAAGTCGTTTCTCGCAAAGAACTGTCGTCAATAATAAATACATATATCATTCGTTCTTTTCTGAAACTTTGTTTTCTTTTTCTGTAATAATAGAAGAAAAGGAAGGGAAAAGGGGGAGAAATAGAGAATAGATATGTATGTGTATTTTGTTTTTATAAACTTTGTAATCAACTAATGACACTCGATAAATAATGAATATTTGTCTTTATTTTTCCCTTATATATCTATATAATCCTCATCTTTTAAATCTTTAAACTTTGATCTTATTTTTTCATATTTTAATTTATTACATGTTAATGAAATTTTACAATATTTGTTTAATTATTGATGAGAGATGATTTTACTTATCTTTCCTTCTCTGTTTAAGTTCAAAAAATAATTTTCATTATTCTTTAACATATAGGAATGAAGACAAAAGTAGTTTTGCAAATATAAAAAATATCGTAAATATCAGCTTTATTATAAATATGATTTTTTTTCTCTACATAGTTCAACATACACGTTTTGTGCACATAAAAAGAAGTTCCTAATAAATTCCATCTACAACACAAGCACGTCTATTTCTCAGGCATTTTTCTGTTGTTATCATTCAGATTCGACTATTATCATTTGAGAAATGCCGTTTCGGTAGTAGCTCTGGCAGTAGTCTCTCGGGAGCGCTGTTGGTCGTGAAGGCCTCCGGAAGTGGCGTGCGTATTGCCGCGGTGGATAACTGGCTGCACTGGCACCGGAGAGGTGGTTTTACGTCAAGGTGGGTCGGTCACCTGGAGATAACTGTAAAATGTCATCGGCGAATGTGTGTCAGGCATGGACTTGACGGCGCGCACGACAGTGACACCCGTTCACTGGCTGGCTCGCGATCGTTCTGTCAATTATGCTGCCGCGTTTTTGAGATAAAGGAGAACAGCCGCGTCGCACATTCAAGGAGCTGACCCGACGAGGCGCACGAGGAAGTATGTAAGGAGTCGATACCCGGACTCGAGGTCTCGAATTCATCGGTGTGCGCATAACTTTTTGTCGCTCGCTTCTACGCTTTCCTCCCGTCACTCTCTCTCTCTCTCTCTCTCTCTCTCTCTCTCTTTCTTTCTTTCTTTCTTTCTTTCTTTCTTTCTCTCCCTCCGCTTTTTCCTCGCTTCGCGAGAATTCGCACAGAACGCACCGGGCGTGTTGCATAGGTCGATTACGAAATTTCTTGGAAATTTCTACGCCGGATAAGCTACATTATAGAAGATACTTTGACGTAAGGAGATTATCGTGTCTCTCGTTGAGAGATGCTTCACGCATGTCATTCGGAGCGATGAATGATTCACTTGCATGGGAAAAAAATCAGCCAGCGTGGAAATCGTGAATAAGAGGCTCCTTAGCCAATGACTCTTTGACATTACGACAGAGAGAGAGAGAGAAGAGATAATGAGTGATTTAATTATTTTTACACAAATGACTATAATACACTGAATACATTTGTTTAGTTATTTTTATAATCCTCTCGTAATTAATTTATTTTTTCATTATTCCGGATATTTGTTTATATCTGATATATATCTGGCTCTTTTTTTTATCTTGGTGTTCTAAAAATATAAATTATCCTTATTCACTGTTTCTCTTATAATTTTTAAATATATATTATAAATTATAAATTTTCTACTGTATATAAAGAGAAGAAATAAATCTTAATTAATTTTAATAAAACAAGAACTTTTCATACAATACAGATTATTCCAGCAACATTTGCAGCAACATTGTAACATTCCAAAAATATTACATCAACATTGCAATGTTCCAATATATAACACTGCAAATGTTGCTACAAACTTCTATATTATATGGTCAGAAAGTTAAAATATTACTAATTTTTAGATGTTACAGTTTTAATCTATGTATTTACGAGTTCGTGTATACATTACAGGAAAAAATTTGCATCATGGAGGGGGCAGAAGTTACATTTTTATTCCAGTTTGGTCTGATACGTGACACAGTCACGGTCGACAGCAGCACGCTTACTCTTAAGGCCCTGAAAGATCTCGCCTGTGATTTTATAAACACCAAGTGTCCGGAGCACGGATTGAATCATCTATTTGAGAGATTAATTTTATTCAAGCACGATTACAATTCCACAAATGTTTTGCAGTTGGTTACAAACGCTACGGAAGTAGTTGACGAGACACTAGTAGAAATCGTGTTGACTGGTAAGAAAAGCTTTGTTGCAGCATTCAAATTTTGATTTCTTATATAATAAGATATGTATAGTTATAAAAAAAAATTGTTTGACATTTTAGCACAAGTGCCAAGCGAATACGTTCCCATTCGACCTCATACCTTAGCAGTACATTCCTACAAAGTACCAACATTTTGCGATTTTTGTGGTGAAATGCTATTTGGGCTTGTTCGACAAGGTCTCAAGTGTGAAGGTAAATTTATGATAAATATTTTATAATTTTTTAAAATCAAATATGTATATTTTTTTATCCATTCTTTTTATCATTTAACAGTAATAAAATGCTTGTTTAATTTTTTAGGTTGTGGTATGAACTATCACAAAAGATGCGTCATTAAAGTACCGAACAACTGTTCACAAGATGCAAGTCAAAGACGGCGTAGTTCAGCCATGCTGAATGTTCCAAGATCGCCAAGTCAAGGTTCCACTAGCAGCCTGACAAGCAATACCGATGATAATCACAGTTCAAATAGTACACTTAACACAAGCCAAAATAATAGTACATTGGTATGAGCGAAAGTATATAAATTGATTTTAATTTAATGTATATACATTGGAAACAAATAAATACGGCTTGATATTTTTCTTATTCTTTTTTATTTGTGAAATTCTTTGTGTGTCTGAATAAAATGTATACTATCTTGTAGGCAATACCAAGTATAATGGCACCAAAACAGTCCTCTTCGCCAATATTAGGAGGACGACCCGTTTGGGTGGAGCGAGAGCTCGCAACGCGAATAAAAATTCCGCACACATTTGTAGTACACACATATACACGCCCAACTGTATGTGGGTACTGTAAAAAATTGCTAAAGGGTATATTTAAACAAGGCCTTCAATGTAAAGATTGTAAATACAATACGCACAAAAAATGTATGGATAAAATACCAAAAGACTGTACCGGAGAAAATCCACGAGATAATATAGGTAGAATACTTTGTATATAAATTCAGACGATTTGTTTTTTATTCGTACATATGTATTAGGTGTTGGAATTAATTCGTAGCGTTTTTTAAGTGATGGGAAGTACTTTCATTAATGTATTTTTTAATGCTCATGTGAAATAAATAACATTCTTTCATTAAAAAACGCTACGAATTAATTCCAACACCTAATAATAAATTAAAAATGCTTCCCTAGGCGAATACACAGATAGTGGTGTTGGCAGTGAATTAGAAACCAAATGTGATATTAGAAATGAGGAAGCTGATGCTGACAGTGACACAGAATCGTCGCCTCCAACACAAGATACATCATTCATAAATAATGAAAATAAAATACCCAATTATTATTCAGTAAGTTATTTATTCTCTTTCCAATGAATGGTTTTGGAATTATGAAAATGAAGATGTAATTTTTAAAAAAAGTTTTACAACATTGAAATTATGTGATTACAGGATCATGCACGATATAACGAGGACATTGCTTATGATGAAAGTCAAAAATCACGACGGTCGAGGTAAGTTTCTATACTATAACAATTTTATTTAAAATTTATATTTGTTATTTTTCTAATATTATGCTTTCTTTTTTTTTCATTAAAAAAGCTGTAATTCTACACCAAGTAACAACATTCCATTAATGCGAATAGTACAAAGTGTGAAACATACTAAGAAACGTGGGTCTAAGGTATTAAAAGAAGGTTGGATGGTACATTTCACAAATCGCGATCCAGTCGTGAGTATTCATAGAAACACTGGAAATTATATAAGTATTTTAATATTTTCTGCTATCATTTAAGTTATTAATTACTGTGAATATAAATGTATAGACTTAAATGAAATTATTTATCAATCTTTTCAGAAAAAAAAACATTATTGGCGGCTTGACACAAAAGCTATAACACTATTCCAAAGCGAGAATGGTTCTAAATATTACAAAGAGATACCATTAGCTGAAATTTCAGCAATTGAAACTGCTAAAACACCTTGTTCATGTGCGTTTTTGTTTGTAATGAATTAGAAGTTATTTCTAATATTAGTTATTATCAGTTTTAAGTGCATTTTTTTCTTCCCCTCTTTTTTAAGATTTTACGTGTCAGATCCAACAAGCTTTTCTGAGTTGAACTTTTTTACACACTTTGCGTACTTTATATTGTAGATATAATGCATTGCTTTGAGCTAAAAACTGCCAATGCCGATTACTATGTCGGGGAGGATCCATCATACGGAGATAATTGCGGCCAAGTCTCTCCTCCCGAAAGTGGTATCGGAGCTCACATAGCTAGATCGTGGGAAACTACTATTAGACAAGCACTTATGCCTGTAACTGTGTCGACTAGTATGTATATTTAGTTTGCTATCGTGACACTGTGCAAAATAATAACACGAGATATTTTTTACGCCTTTTATTAGTTTATATTTTATATTTTTTAAATTATTTAATATAGTATTTTGTATTAAAATATCATTTTTATTTCTTAGAGATAAATGGTACAGAAAGCATTGTGTGTGTTGAAACGAATTATTGAAATGAATGTGTTTGTGTGTTATAGATCAAGAAGAACCTGAAATTACTGAACCTGAGGAAAACGTTACCGATATGTCACAACTATATCAGATCTTCCCAGATGAAGTTTTAGGATCCGGACAATTCGGCATAGTTTACGGAGGTGTTCATCGCAAGAGTGGTCGCGCGGTGGCCATAAAAGTCATCGATAAATTACGTTTTCCTACCAAGCAAGAAGCCCAACTGAAAAATGAAGTAGCGATCTTGCAAAATCTGTCGCATAGTGGAGTGGTGAATTTGGAACGTATGTTTGAAACAACAGAGCGGATATTCGTAGTGATGGAGAAGCTGAAGGGCGATATGTTGGAAATGATTTTGAGCTCTGAAAAAGGACGACTCAGCGAACGAATAACCAAATTCCTCGTGACGCAAATTCTAGTTGCATTGAAACATCTTCACAGCAAGAACATCGTGCACTGCGATCTGAAGCCAGAGAACGTGTTACTGAGCAGCGACACGGATTTCACTCAGGTGAAATTATGCGACTTTGGATTCGCGCGGATAATTGGCGAGAAAAGTTTTCGGAGAAGTGTCGTTGGCACGCCGGCATATCTAGCACCGGAAGTTTTGCGAAATAAAGGCTATAATCGTTCCTTAGATATGTGGAGTGTTGGCGTAATTATATACGTATCATTAAGCGGCACCTTCCCCTTTAATGAAGAAGAGGACATCAATGAACAAATTCAGAATGCTGCCTTTATGTATCCGCCAACTCCGTGGAAGGAAATTTCAAGCGATGGTGATTAACACTTCTATTATTTCTCTGCAAATTACTTTTATGATATAATATTAGCATGTAAAAAATCACGTTTTTTTTTCTCAATAGTATGAACCTATATATTATTTCCTTGTCTTTCAGCTATTGATTTAATCAATAATCTTCTGCAAGTTAAGCAGAGGAAGAGATATACCGTAGATAGAAGCTTGCAACACGTGTGGTTACAAGTAAGCATTATTTTTATATCTCAATTGATTATCTTTGTTTTATTGATTGCGTGATTATTATTAAAAAATTCTTTTTTCTAAGGATTATCAAACGTGGTGTGACTTGAGAAAATTGGAGCAGAAAGTTGGCTATCGCTATTTGACTCACGAAAGTGACGACGCACGTTGGATGGCGTACAGTAATCACGAGACATGACAGAACTGTTCGCCTGTTTTGAACATCGAGGCATTACCGACTTCCTTGTCACTGCACAAAGGCTGGGCTCGATATGCTCGAGCCACTCTACGACGGTTTATTCGTGCCTGACTCAGTAAAAGTACGTGAAAACTAGTACAATTTTGTCTTTCGGGCGATATCCCGAATATGTTATTCTCCGTTTTAGAATAGAATTGGCATTGACATTCTGAATTTGCATTTCGGGATACTGCTATTCCAAAATACTTATTAACATTATTAAACATTCTGAAAACTTCCATAACGTTAACATTCCCACAAAGTGGTCCTAGCACAAAAGATTTTGATTCGCGATATGTAATAATAAATAAAAATAATAAGCGAAAAATGATCTACAGACATCTAATGTTTGTTAAATATGTAGAAATACCACGTTTGTGTTTAGTAGGTTTTTAATCAATTCCATTTTAAATACTACTTTAAATGTTATTTGTAGAGAATGTCTCTATGTAAGCTACTTAAACTACGTTATAACAATGTAGACATTTTTATTACTTTAATTTTACATTTATATTTAGGATAATGTTATAAAACATTTTAGATATTTTATAAATTTATTATTAATTTTTATCAACTCTTTTTGGGGTAACTTTATATTTTATTGGTATAATTTACTTTTTAATGCATAATAATAATTTTAAATTTATTCCTATGTATTAACATAAAACTTGTAATTTGCCATGATATACGTAGCTGAAAACTTTAGTTGCATTTATAGTTGCAAATTAAGTGAATATAACTTACCCATGCAATAAAATGCTGTTTTCGCATAAATTGTTTTAAATTAGTTTATTTTTATATTTTTACAAGTAAATTAATATATTTTTTATTTTAAATTAAAATTATGAAATTATTAATAGTTATTATATAATTAATGAAATTTAATATAGTTTAATAATTATATGATTAATTTAGTATTATAAATTATTTAAACATTTATGAAGGAAAAGCTGGATTTTTGAATCTCGATCAATTTTTAAAAGTTTTATGTATGGGTATAGATACAATCACTAATATATATCTTATATTGCAGAATACTGCAATATAAATTGAATATCGATCGAAAGAAATATAAAAGTTGATGAAGTAATATATTACGATAATTTAAATGTTTTTATGTCTGTTAACAGCTTTTAATCTTTACAAATTATATAATAATTTGGATCTGTTTTAAATATTGAATATGAAAAAAAGATCATTAGCAATTCTTAAAGATTTTTTTCAAAATTAAGACTTGCGTACATGTTAAAAATTATGACATTAATTCCAAGAAATAGATGTTTTTTATATTAAAAAAAATATAATCATGTTATTAAGTTAAAGTATATGTTAATACATATTAATTTTTAAAGTATAGTAAGAAGCACAAAATGGTGATATGTATATCTCAATTTTTGTTAGCAACAATTGGCGAATCTCTATGTTAATTTGGTTATTTATAATCCAAGCTTTGCAGCTTTAAATTTAAATATATATATATATATATATCGTTTTTTCATTGCGATAATATTAGAATGTCATTGAATGAAATTGATATATTTAAATGCGGTGGTTACGTATTCTCTTTATAAAATTTGCTTATCAATGATATAAAACAATGATTATGTCAGTAGTCAATACGAGAGAAATTGACTTAGATTAACAAGCTAGAAATGAATATTACATGCGAAAGAACTTATTAAAATTATTAAGATGGTGCAAGAAAAATTTATCATATTCATTAAATAAACTTGAAAATGAAATTGCATAAACTCGAAGCTATTTTTATTAATTCCAATATAAGTATATTATTCTCTAGTTAGAAAAAAAACATTTGTAAAGAATTTAGATCCATTTGTCTATTTAACTCAAAATTTAATACAAAAAATTTAATAAAAAATTTAATGTAGAAAAAAACGACGAAGCTTTTGCACTAGCCTAATAATTGATTTATTCATATGAATCTATTTAAAATATTTCGTAGATAGCTGAGATAAAGTGCAATCTTTCCGGAGGAAATATTTCTATATTTAATAATTATGTAAAGAGAATATATTCGATTTCGAATAGTTGAGTATGTATTGGATCATAAATTGGCAAATACCCTTAAAAACGCGGCCTATACCTTTAATAATCTTTATAAGTAGTGTAGAAAATCGTTTCTCATTTTATATCGTATAATGCAATAGTGCGATTTTTACGTTCCTTAAGAACAGAGTAAATATTATACATCCAATGAGGATCACAATGCGAAATGACGATAAAAACATAAAGAGATAATCGATATACCTGTAATATAAGAGATATATAAGCGCGTGCGTCAATAGGCGCGTTAATTGTTATATTTTATAATAACTTTTAAAAAGTTTATCGTAACTTTACTCGTAGAATATCGTAGATCAATGTCTTATGCGCATATTGTACGCACTTATACTTAAGAAGAGTCTACTTACGCTATGCAAATATAATCTCTTAAGTCGTGCGTATGCGAGCAACCTCGTACTCATGGAAAACGCATTTATAATACTCGATGCATTTAATGCCAGGCATTTAAATGTTCTTCCCGCATAAGAGGAAGGAAAATACTCCAATGTGTGTAGGAACAAATGCTATAATTGTAATCTCTTATACTTACCATCGCGCTAATTTTATGCTTCTATGCATTTGTGGTTGGAAAGCAAGATATATCGTATATAATAAATAAGCAACATATAATAAAAAGGGTTTTATTAACTCTCATGTAATTGCACGCAAATTCGACTTACAATTCCATACTTTAAAAGAACTTAGTATTTTCTGAACCAAGAAAGCGATGTATCGTGCAGTTAGATAATGCGTATGTTACCTAATCTGATATCCTGAAATCTAAAAAAAAAACATTACCGCCAAACGTCTTGAACAATATGTACAATAGATTACCGGCTTATGTACTTAGTGCCAGATGAAAGTCTCAATTTATATGTTCTTTTGTGGTAATAATAATAAAAAATAATCAAGCGGCAGCCTGTTCATATTCATGTATGAGCACGTTTCTCTTCGTAACGTGTTAGATTGAACGGAGGAGAAGATGGCTTTTCAGTGCCACGTGTGAGTTTTGATATTAAATTAATTTGTATATCGCTCTAAGCCTTCTATCCGAAAACCAATAAACGGAATCTGCCTTACTCATCCAGAAAGTGATATACTGTTACATTATTTATTCCCCGCGAATGTGTTCCTAAAATCTTTCTTGGAAAATCACGTTTCCATCAATGTTATGAGAGAAAAACAAATCATGACAAATTGAATTAGCATTATGCGAGATAAATTATAGAAAAAAAAGAGACATAAGGAAGTGGCCTTTTCTGTAACAACCGTTTCCGACGCGTGATCATCATCAGCCGTTTCGTTCTCTTTAATCCTAACAGAACATCTGCTGGAAATAATGATGTCTCTTCGCGCGTGTCACCTGCAGCATATCCATGCCCGACACCAGACAGTTTCTGAATTACAGATACGCAGTAGAGACTCGAAGAAGTTCACGTGTTATATACTTGATTAGTGACAAGAATGAGATGCGTTTCGTCCGCGGAATAACGTATAATAATAAGTAACATTATATCCAAATATGTTTGTGCGCGGCGCATTTTGCGCTCTGTGTACCATAATACTTTTCCTTAATGTTATCGCAGCGGAATGGGTAGATATGCCGCAATTCTCGGACGAAACAAAGGTTTACAGGTAAGTTAGTTACATCACTTAGTTCTCTGGATCACTCTAGATTAATATCTTGTATACTCTTTAAGGATACCTTCTGTACAGCATAATCAGTTTTATAAGTTCAGACGAGGCGACACGGACAACATTAACTTTCCCAGTAATCAACGAAATGGTAGCCAAGCTTATCGTCGGGTCAAAGCCACATATGCGATGAATAATAGGACGGAAATTAAGAAGATAAATTTTGTCTCGATATCAACAACGCCGGTGAATCTGTTTCCTGATCAAATCACCGACAATTTCGCAGATATCGATACAACGGTTCGCACTGCAACAATCACCGATACTGTGACTGAGGTAACGAAAAGACATTCACGGAATAAAGAACTGAAATTAATAAACAAACCATGTACAAAAAAAATCATTTATTTTTTTGATTAGACATTGTAAATATTTTAAATGTTTTAGAATAAATTAAACAAACAAGAACGACTTAACAAGAATATGTCATCAACAAAAGATACAATGGTTAACACACTTACGATTCAACCGCCACCAAATACCGAACATAAAATGTCGCAAGATAAATACAACAATGACACATCAAAGCGGGATGATGGTATATTCCAATACTTGCCCATAGATATACTCAAAAGTGTTCACCATACTTTGCAATCACAGCCAGCGTCAGTCGAAGGAAAACTTTACTTTCTTAAAACGATCGAGAAAACATTGATGTCAGAGATAGGTAAGATTTGTCCGTACATTTTCTCCGCACGTTATCAAAATGTGGAAAGTTTTTATATATTATACTCATCAACAGAATCTCGCCTTACCACTACTATGGCACCAAGTCGCAAAATAAGAGGTGTCGAGTATTATGGGCACGATGATCACGAAGATCATTCTTTAGGATTCCCTTCGATAGAAGGCACACTGATGGCCATATCATTCCTCACGTTTGCAGTTTATCTTGTTCGATTAGTCATGGTAAGGAATATTCCTCGAGACGCTGATCTCTCGACTAGAATTATTATAACTGTAAAATTGCACTCTACTTTCTTTGACATGTGTATTACTGAAGATAAAATCATTGCAGCTTCTCCTCCGGAATATTAACACGCCTACGACCACTACAACCGCTGCTACAGTGTTTCTTGGTAAACGAAAACGATCCACCGATCTCGATGATGACACCGCTAGGATACTTAATAACATTAATAGTTTCGTTCCTGATCTTTAAAATGTAATATAAAATAGTGTATTATTGGTGATGGGAATAACTGGAAAATGAATGATTCTATATGAAAAAATATATCGAAAATATATAGCAAAATTTTTTCATACGAAGCTTTATATATTTGAAAATCAATTTTAAAACTAAAAATGAGAGATTTAAAAACTTTGTATATATATGTATGTACTCATAGAAAAGTTAAAAATTATGTAATTTGAATAAATGGCGATTTCTTGAATTTCACTCAACAAAGTTTTGTATGAAAAAATCGGATATCTTTTATCTGATTTTTTTTTTCATGTAAGATTATTCCTTTCCCGATTGTGCCACTAATAATGACATACCCTGCATGTCTACAGCTCGTGAAATTAAAGCGGAATGTATCGATGTATTGACACATATATCTCACAGTTAAAATCGAATTATTGTTATTAATTTAATGCTATTATTAATACACTGAAAAAAATTTGTTTAATTAACTAAATATATTTTGTTTGCAGATTCGATTAATTCAACAAATTTTATTGAATTTAACCGTCTGCTTAACATCGAACAATTTGTTAGTCAGATTATGTATCAAATTCATTGTTTCATGATAAACTGTTATAACTTAGCTTGTACATCCATCGATGATGTTGAAATAATTAAAGGAAACGCATCGACATAGATTTCCGTTGGATGACGTAATGGTAATTCGAGCAATGCTCCAATAAGATATGTCAATTTTGCTTTATCCGTTCGATACGTATTAGTATGTTTCTGGTATGCGATGATATCTTGCGATAATAAGCTAGACCATACTGTGTTATACAGATCAAGAGATAAACAGTAAGGATGTTGACATCGGTCTTTAGTCTCGAATATTAATCTTTCCACTTCTTTCTGCGTTTCGACAAGAATTGTCCGATCCGTTAGTTCGACTGACGTTCTTTCCGTCCACTAAAGAGGGAAGAAGTATACAAATGTTTAATATATTGAAGTTATTAAAGTTAGTTTCGATAAATTTTTCTTACCTCAGATAATAAGATACATATTACATACGTAACATCTATGAATGGTAATATAATGTTATGCAAGATGGAAAACAGTTTGGTATTATTTCCTATAAAAATTAAATTGTTCACTATATGCAAGCAGTTCTGCGATATCAACACATTTAACGACTTTTCCCATTCTATTTTAATTAAAGCTTTGTCTTCAATCGGTCGCATCGCGAATTCTGTGCTGAATAATCTTCTTAACAATTCATACCGTTCCAAAGCTATTTCTGCAAATAAAATACGAGATTGATAAAAGAACTATAAGAAAAATAAATAAAGTAATCCTTTCCAATCTGTTATACTTGCATGGAAAAGAAACAATAATTATTTTTTTATATTTTACATCAGTAATTAAATAAAACATTATTGCCGTTAATATTTGCAATCATTACCAGTTTCAATGCCATTCTCTCCTATCGTTGCAGTTATAAAAACTATTTCCGCTAAAAAAGCAAAGATCGGATTGCTATAAATAGCAATATTAATGGCAGGTACCGCTATTTGTAAAGTCTGTTCAGACAGAGGGTATCCTTTAATATTTGAATAATTTAATTGCTTCATTCTTTTATGTCTTTGTTTGATTTTTAACATATTTGATGAATCAAACACTATTAATTCATCATGCGGTTTTAAAGATTCCAATATTTCTTGTTTGATTGTATCGTTATCAGTACTGCAATAAATTATGCATATATAATGTAGAATTCTGAAGATATATATATATATATATTAACAGATATTTATGTCTATAGCTTATAACTAAAATAATAGGCAAGATTATAAAAACTAAGAATGGAATAACTGATAATGTTGCACATGCAGATTAATTGCAACTCCAAACTATATATTGTATAAAGTTTAATACTTACGTTTCAGTTCCATACATTAAGGCTTTCAATGATTTAGTAACAAAGCTCTTAAACCATTGATAATCTTGAATCAATAAATCGAGTGTATATGGTTCTTTCGGTTTCGTTTGAACTTTTTCATTGAGGAGTAAAGCTATAATATTGATCGGCATAAGTATAGTATTCTTCTTGTGTGATTCTATTATAAGATAAGCTATATTCTCCACAACTGATGATGGAATTTTGAAGGAAGGTTGTAAAATTTTTTTTTGTCGATATGCCTTATCCACGAATCGACTGGCGGATATTGGCTCCCCGATGTTAAAGAAAATGCGTCCATGAGAAAAAGGTTTCTGTAGAATAGAGAGTGACCGAAAAAGTCGAGCCGTACTTTCTTTCGGTTTCGGAACTCCTAGCATTTCATAAACAAATAATAATTCTTCCGGTGGGCGTTCATAATTAATACTCATAGGTACAAAATGTATGTCGGGCACATCGCCTTGAAGCAAACTTTCTATAATGATGGATAAAAGACCTGTGAAAGATTGATATAAGATTTCAATATCTGTTCTCTTTCATAATTCGAGATTATTTAAAAATCTTTTCTTATCTACCGTATTTCGGTATCGTACTCTTCTGACTACGACTCCGTGTACCCTCAATAAAAAATTCTATCGCCCTATCGCTGTGACTAACAATAGTGTTAACATATGATCGAAAAATTTGCTTGTACAATAAATCATTTGAGAAACTACGTCTTATATAAAATGCTCCAGTTTTTCGCAGTAGTTCTCCCACTATTTTCATATTATAAAAATCCATGCCAGCTGCAATATTCGGCAGTGCCATGTCGTAAGAAAAGAGAATATATGACAACAGAATAAAATCCAAGTAACTTCTGTGCGATGGAACATAGATATACTGTGCTTGAGATATTCGTGTTTCTTTCTTTAAGTTAGAAAGTATGATTTCATTTATGTAAATCTGCGAGAACATTCTCTTCAGAGCTTTCGTAACAAAAATAGCTGAAATTACCAAATATATTATAAGACATTTAGCAAAAAACAAGTGTGCTAATAATATTCATCAATCATTGAATTAGAAGTACAATTTTATTTTATCTTCCTGAGGCAAAAAATACAAAACATTATTTGATAAAAAATTATAGTTTCTCTTAACTATAATTCTTAAAAAAATATTAGAAGATAAAATAATAAGTATGTAGTGGAAATAATAAGTATGTAGTGTACATGGAATTAGAACTAAATACAAATTTACTAAAACAAAAATATACCTATCCAACGAACAGTCGCCAAATCTGCTTTACTAGCCATCTCATTTATCATGGCACGGGCATTATTCTCAACATCTTTAACTCCAACACCTGTAGTCTTTGCTATTGTATTGATGGCAATTTTGACTTGATTGTCCTGCAAGACAGCTTGCATGATCCTCTCCCTGTCATAGATTGAATCCGGTGGCAACATATGCGGTAATGCTGGATCCATAGGCCTTGTCGCCCACAAAAAGTCACAATCTCTTCGTCTATTCTCGAGCAAATCGACAAACTTAGTGTTACGCTCCATCTCTAAATTTATCAACGAGATACCTCGCAGATTTGTTATTCAGTGCACTTCAATATTTGAATAAGTTAAATCAAATCCTAATTAGCTTGACTCTGTCACTTTTATAAGTACATCGAAAGTATTTTCACCGTCAGATTCATTTCAAATCTCATGTGACGTAAAATTTCATTCTTATATAATATATTGCAAGTAGATATCTCTTATACAATGTTTTGTAAACAAAACAATAAGATAAATTCAAAGTTTCGAACAGTCGATTAAACAAACGACGAAATAGTTTCGAAAAACCACATATGCAAGTTGGTGTTACAAACTGAAACTGAAAGAAGTTTTCCTCTTTTTTTTTTCTTCCGTCACACCTGTTTTTTTTTTGGAGAGATAGATATTAAGACAGCTAATATCTATCCTTCATTAACTGTCATTAAACCATCACCATCTTAAAATTTCTCGATGCACCACAATCATGCTTTCGCATTTAATATTTGCACTTAGAATGAGACAGATAATCGAATTAGATATTAAAGAGAAAAGGAGATAGGATAAATATAGTAATAAAAAAAAGAAAGTTCACTTATGAGGAACAGCTGGAACAAGTCCAATATCTGCTCTTTCTAGGTGCTCAAATTGTACCAAAACCAGTGAAATACAGATTCACCGGCGACAGTCAAGCTTAGAAAATAAATCCGACACGGTGCAGCGGTGTGTCATATGTCGCATTATTACATTCACATGATTTAATAAACAATTCAATAAACAATCCGGAATCCCCCAAAGTTTCTTGATGTTGTGTAACATTCCAGTATGTTCAGTACTACTCCAGTAATTAGGTACGATACAGGAGCAACAGGGACACGCATGAAGTTAGGCGCATAGAGATAGGCATGTACCATTATTTTATGAGTCTGTTCCTTTCTCCCGCCTCATTTAAAGGCGTGTTCAAAGTTCCACTTGGATGCTCCCTAGGTGTAATGTCATCCTTGTCTAATGTTCGATAAACAACAAGAATGAAGTGATAACTGGTGATAATCAGGTGGGAATCTGAACTTAGCATAAGTGCATACATTTTTAGAATTTTTTTATATAATTCTTTATATAATTTTTCAGAATTGTATTAATTTTGTAAGTTTCAGAATTCTTCAAAATTTTATAACTTTTTTGAAAATTTCTCAGATATTTTTTATGCTAATTGGAACTTCAGAAGTTCTGAGAAAATCTTTTCTAGAATTTTTCATGTGAGTTCTAAAATCCCGGAAAAAAATATTGTTTTAATTTAATTATTATAAAATTATATAAAATTTTATACAATTGTATATAATTATATATATTTTTGTACATAATTATATATATAAAATTATATATAATTTTATATAATTCTATATAATTATATGTAAAACATTTTTTCCCAGGATGTGTGTCTTTAAGATTTCTCATTCTATAATTTTCGAAGAAAACTTATAAAATTGAAAAAATTTAAGGTACTTTTATTTTAATTATAAAATTTATTATAAAATAAGTGAAATTCTCTTAAAAAAATAGTATGAGAATTTTTTTCACCAGAGCTTCTCAGAATGTTTACTGCATAGGAAAAGAGGTAGAATATATTCGAGCGTTGTGCGAAAAAAAAGAGAGCAAGATACAGATGCAAAAAGGGCTGTAAATAAAACAAACAAGTTTTGTATTACAAATCTCTCAAATGTTGGCGACACTGCTTGCCTCAATAGAATTTTTAAATTATTTCAAGCACGCGTTTGTTTTTACATCCATCCAGATGGATAAACCGATTATTTTTAAACAACAAAAAAATACATACACGAAAGGAAGAAAAATTTCTCATGAAGCGACTAAGACGTTGGAAGGAAAGCTAGGAAAAATTATATATTTTTGTTTAAACTTTAAACATTACAGAAACTCAAAAGGTAATTCGGTCAAAACCGTTAATTTGGTCGGCTTATAGCAATATCGATTATAGCAATATTATTTTTTAACACTAATAATGAAACAATCAATTAATTTGTTAGATTTATTTCTATCAATCTAGTCGAAAATAACTAAATTAAAGTAAATATGTTATAATTTTGCATTCGATATAAATGTAATACAAGACACAGTATATATTACATATTATATATAATAATTATACATATATATTGTTGAGTGCAAAATTATTAGAACATTGTTATGTAGATTTATTTTAATTTTGATTCAATTTACTCTTTATATTTTCTAATTCTTAGAATTTGAACTAGGAAATAAAAATTGTAAAGTTAAACTGCAGAATTAAAGTTAATCATTGATAGAAATGGATATTAGAAAATCAAGTTTGAAATCGAAGAAAAATGAATTATGCAGCATCATGTTAACAAATTAAAGTACTATCACAGATACTATATTGTACTATTGATTTCATCTTGTACAAATATATCTGTGATATCACAAAGGATCGACGATGCCTTCTACGAGTCTTCTTCAAATGATGAATAAATCTGATGTAATTGGAGGTAATAACGGATAACTAGCTAGAATAAAGTTTTTTATTACACTGTAACAGCATACACGATTTCTCCTGCATCGCAGGAATTTTTTCCTTCTTTATTACTTCGACAATATCAAGGCGTTTCAATAGATCAGTTAAACGGTTATCATGTTGTCAAATCTAGTTTAGTTATTTTTAAAAATTCATACCGTCGTTTTACGAAAAGGTGTACAGAGCGTTCCCAGTTCAATTCCTTCCAGCAATTATGTTCCAATAACTGTTTAAGAAAATTTATTAAATCAAAGATGTAAAAGTTATAAAAAGCCTCGCCTTCCCCCTTTAAGAAAGGTGTTTTATGATTGATAAAAATCATGTCTTAAATAGAATCATTTTTCAGATTTATTAGTAACTTTTATTATTTTTATTAAATCTCGCAAACGATTTTAATTATAGGACAAAAATAATAATTCCCTCCAAAATGAAGTAACTTTGATCTAATAATTTTATTAACTTTTTCCTGAACAGTCACCAGACATAATCATATGAAGATATTAAAACATTATACTCCACATTTATGTATAGTCTTCAATATGCACCTGTTTCCTATGCGACAAACTGTTCACACGGTTCAATTTCATTGCTATTATGGCATCCAATTATCAGTTAGCGATGATAAGTTTCATTAAAAAAGTAAAATTGTGACTCGTTTTGATTTTATATCTGTTTCGTCAGATTGCTCTTCTAGTTGATGTTTCAGAGTTGACTGTTAGAAAAAAAGATTACAAAAACATTGATTCGAATAAAAAGTTAAGATTATGAAAGCATCATTAATCGTTGTCAATGATCCAATCGTGTACGTAATACACTTACTATAAAAAGATATGCGCATAGGTAACATATGCAAAGTGTTACACAAATATAAAATACATTATAGTAGTATGCAGGCTTAGAAGCAACGGCTTGTCTTTTATTCTCTTTGTACTTTCAGCAGCAGCAAATGCGTCAATTGCTCCGTATGTCTCCTAGTACTTATTGTGCTGAGACTTATTTTAGGCGAAAAGGCTCGAGTTACGTGGTTTAGAAAAAACGTAAGTATTAAACGAAATGTTTTCTGACATCACAAAAATATTTGATTAAAAGTATTTCGCATTCGATGAGAAACACTTTTGGAGTAAAAACAGACCTAGAGTAGAGTATCGTTAAGAATGATTAGGATAGTTTACGAGATGTATGATCAAGAAAGACATAGTCATCGATCGTATTAAAATAGCAGTACAGCATCATTTTTCTTGGCATTTTTTTCGATTATTTTCTACGTATGCGTTATTACGCACGCTGTAACATATACATTTTTCGCGAGCATAAGTATATAAAATATTTAGAATACACGTGAATTTATATCTCTTTTTGTCATGTCTCGCAATTTACGATTTACCACTGCGAACATTAAGACCTTAAAATTAAATTTATTTAATTTTAAGATCGGATGGAGGTAACATCTGATCTTAATTGCCGAAATCGTGTCGTTTATAACTATACAAATTCCTTGTATTATATCTAGTTCTCGTTCGGCATTTTTAATTATTTCATTCTTATTGTTACGAGAGAGTCATGATTAAGCGAAATAAAATTTTTATCTTTCATATAGACCTCCTTATAAATAGTAAAATGAACGGAATTAAAACATTCTTGCTTGCTGTGAACGGTGAGATCTGTTAGATCCGAATTATTCCTTAATATTAATGTCACAGTTGAAACAAGCAAGCAAAGTCATTTGTAGAAATTCATAGCAGTAGTTTCGCCGTATTTCAAATCCAATAGGTAACATTATATCTGTCGATTATTTGCAACGTTATTAATAAATCATTAATCCAATTTCTGGAATGTAAATTGCTAGTCCGATAGATTCTTATCAAATTTTTCTATTACCATTTTATAAATAGTTCTATATTTCTGCTTGTGCTAAAAACTTTTAAAATTTGATTAGCAGCATTCTGTATGGCGTAATAAAAATCTCCGTTTTTCTACACTTACTTAATGGAATTCACATTTTTTAATAATTTTTTGTTATTTGTTATTGTACAAAGCATGTTCATTCATCCTTATTTAAATAAAAATTTTACATTTATATGACTTCGGAAATATTTATAAAATTGTTCTATAATATCAACTTATTTTGTGAAAAGGTCGCGTGTGAAAGGATTCAAGAAGAAAACAAAAAAATTTATATTATCTCATACTTGTAATTTATGTGTAAATAAATAAATAAATAAATAAATTTATCTCTTTGGATCTAATGTTTCACAGCAAGAGTAAATAATTCATGATGATATTAAATAATTATTTAATATCACGCACTACATAAATGAGGTTGAAGAGGTTTAAGATTGATTTCTTACCTGATGAAGTTCGTTTAAACTTTACAAGTCTCTTATAACAATAACAATAACAATAACAATGAGTACAATAATTACAATCCTACTGCTACTTCTTATAAATATTATTTCATTTAAAAGACATTATTATTGATTTGCGTGTAAGGAACATAGATTATGGTGAAGTTTGATAAAATATGTCGAACGTATCCGCGACAATTTGATTCTTCAATGTCAAGTGAAGAAGCATTTGTAGATAAGCGAAAACATTGTCGAACAATTTAGACGCATATACACTATCATATCAGTGTACTTCACTTAAATTAAATTAAGCGTTCAGAAAATCGTTACAAGATAGAGCGATAAGTTTTATCTTTGGGCCCTGAACCTAGTATCTATGCTTAGCACTTCTTTTGTCCTTTGATTACATGTTGCGAGCTAAGATGTGCAGACTTTTGTCCTTTGATTACATGTTGCGAGCTAAGAAGTATAGCCTGTATGAACATTCGCGCATGTAACAAAATCTTAGTAACACGTACTCGTTTAAAAATCTTCTCATTAAAAATCTTTCTCATTAATTCATAAAGCATTTTGTTATATTCCTACTCTGCTTTAATTATTTATATAGGTATTATAATTATTAAAAAAATTTATTTCTCTATAATAAAAAGTTCCCTTAATTCTTATAATGCTATGTATGTGTTTTGAATTCAAGAGATCTATTTTTTTTAGCCGAACTGCTTGTATAGTTCAGCTTTTTTCTTTTCCTCCATGAAAACATGAAGAAAAAAAAGAAAGATAAACTTAAAAATAATAAGATAAACTTAAAAAGAATAGATATTATCATGTATATTAGTTACGGCATGCGTTTGGTTACTGATTGTAAAAAAAACCAGGACTCAGTAGTCATCTAACATAGCATCGTACAATTCTTAGCTTCAAATTTCAAAAATGAAATCAATATTCTTATAAAAATCCAAAATCGAAAGCCAGATTGCCAATTTTACAGGAATGAATAGAGAAATGTTCAAATTATATAAAAATACAAGCCAGTGAATATATTGGTAAAGTCACCTTTTTATGAGATATCAGAAAAACTTATCCTAATTTAAAAAATGTGTTTTATAAATATGCAATTATGAAAACTTGAAATTGACAATTTGGCTAGTTTCAATCAATATATCTATATATGCAAATGAATTTTGATTAACCTCACATTTTATAATATTTTAGAAAGTTCAGGGAGGTCAGTTTTGTTTACAAAAGAGACGATATTGAAGCATTTATATCGATATCGTTGCGTTCTAATAATTAAAAAAAATGGATTTTTTAAATAAACGTTTGACAGTATTCTTCATACTTTGCATATGAAAAAAATCGATTAATAAATCGATAATTTTCAAATATTTTTATATAACTAATAATCGGATTATATGTATATATATATATATACATAATTATTATTACTTTTGTTACTATTATTATTATTATACAACTATTGTTATTATTTTTAAAATACTATCCTGTCATAGAGCTCTAGGTATATACAATTTAATTTAGGCCCATTGTAAAATTTATTTTAAATCTGATCTGTCAACTCTTAAGAAAATTATATCAGCAAAAAAGGAAAACAAAGAAAATTTATTGAAGAACTTAAAAGATATATTGAATATTTTAGATCGAAAATATCACGAAGAAACATGTGGATAAGTTTCTGGACATAGAAAATCTCAAAGCTGGTGTCTGATAATGATTATCCTGCAAATATTTCTGGCAAACTATCTTATTGCGCGTATGTATTAAAAACGTGTAAACTTTAAAAGCATATCGAATAATGCTATTTATCCTTATGCATTCTATCTGTCTTCACAAAAGGCCTTGTATCGTAGTACGAAAAGAAAAAAGTAATATGTATACATACTCGATATCTCTTCAAACAATTGAAGATTTCATGTATACAAGTTTTTTTTACTATTGCCCATACAAATCTTTCACTTAATCTCTACTTAGTTCGATGTTTGTATTTTTTTGTGTTTCCGTTACGTTTGGCCGTACGTTAAATATCTCGATCATATAGTAAAATATACAGTAAGGAAAGGAGGACGATTATTAATTCTCAAGAACGTTTTTGCGCCCATTTCAGATCGTCAGCTCTAGGTTTGTAACCGGTGGACCACTCAATTATCACCTCCAAAATATACCAAAATTGAAGTTTTTCTAAAGGCCAGTTCAGCCATCCCGTAGTGATGCAAAAGTAAGTCTCGTGGGGTGCGACGTGATGTACGCGGTGATGCTTCCTTGGCAGGATAATCCTGAGCTCTTGAAGCCATATAACCCAGCCAGGTAATCCGAAATACGTATGCGACCATTTATGTATCTGTAAAGTACATTATCCTTTAATTGATAATATACAAAACAATATTTCTATTAGGTGTTGGAATTAATTCGTAGCGTTTTTTAATGAAAGAATGTTATTTATTTCACATGAGCATTAAAAAATACATTAATGAAAGTACTTCCCATCACTTGTAAAACGCTACGAATTAATTCCAACACCTAATAATATTGTATAAGTATTGTATTTAATTATAAATATTAGAGCACATCATTAATACTCTAAAAGATAATTTTACTAAAATTGAAATATTTACCCGTATATTTTTTTAATATTCCTCTAATTAGACGTTTACCTGATTAGTCATTGCTACAAAAATGGCAAGCAGGAACCAATAACACGTCCACACGAATCGTTGTTGCATTTCCATTTCAGACAACGTTAGAAAATCCCACGTGAGCTTAGACAAGACTGGTATCGCGACCATAAAATTATCACCATTAGTTTCTATGAAATCGTGTCTCGTTATACTGGTAGGATCTATGTGATGCTCGCGAAATGGTCGTAGGAAATTCTGAAAAGAAAAAAAAAGCTCTCCATAAATTAAATTCATGATTTATTTTGAAACATTCATTTTTACATTTTCGATACTTTACCTTCCCCAGGATTGGAAGTTCAACGGATCCCCAGGTATCAGCGGCCCAATGAACTAAACCGGAGCCAAAGTCGGCGGTGATGATACCGCACAGTGCAGCTATTGCTATGGAACTCAAATTTTCTAGTCGTAATTTGATGAGCACGAATACAGAGTTCACAGCTATCAGAGTGATACAGATTCCTACACAGATACACTCTTGTGTTCTCTTTCCTGGAAATATGTTATCAATATAATTTATTGTTATAAATTCATAATATAAATACTTTTAATAATAATATACAGGATATCTCACAACTATCACATTTCCTCTTAAGCATGATGAAATTATATAAGGTGAGCCATTGCGCATAATGGCGGAGTTCGATCAATCAAAATTATACTAATTTGCAGTGTACTTATTTGCAGAAGGAATCATGTGAATTTCTGCAAATGAACTCAAAAATTGATTGGTTGACAGATCTCCCCACTACTTTTAACCAACTGCGCATCCGTATGAATGTGGTTCTTACACCAAGTTTTTAAAAATATATTCTTGAGGTAATCTTAAGACGAAAATCCTAATACAAAAATTATCTCAAGATGTGAGAAGAAATGCAGCAGTTGTGAGACATCCTGTATAAATAATAACATATAAATATTTTTAATAATAATAAGCAAAAAATCTAAAGTTTTTAAAAATCGCTTGGATCATTATACTAAAATAAAAAAAAACGCGTTTCACATTACACATTCGCTTCTTTTAAATAAAATATACAGTTAAATTCTTGGATACGTTAATGAATATCTTCTCTCTTTTTCTTATGACGAAGCGAAAATGTTCAAAGTATGTATACTGTATATTCTTAATAACCCATAAATTTTAAGGACAATGGCGTTTTATCATCGCTATGCAAATGCTTTCACAGATAAAAAAACAAGAGTCGATCTTAAATGATTGGGATAAGGAGATTCTACGTACCAGTGCTATATAGATTCGCGAGCTCTTGGGCGCCTTTGTGATTCGGACCCCATCTGGGCACAGTTCTGTCTTCCTGCGAGGTCGGTACTACTGAGTTTGCATTAGGATCATCCTCGAGCATCGAATTTTCATAAATCTGCCGCTCGGTCTTCACCGGCGCCAGGAAATTGGTCGCCATAGAACATGCGGCCGATGCGGCCTGTCCTAGGTTCGGCACTTTTATATCTTCCATGTTCTCTAGTCGAAAAATTATTACACGAATCTATGTGAACGAACAATAATGTTCTAGCATATTCCTTCAGAACTCGGGAGCATTTCGTAGAATTCGCTCGTTTTCCGACATTAAGAGATATTATCACTCGTAGAATATGAAGGCAATAGGATTTTTTTTTGTATATTAAATATACAAAGTTAAATTATATTTTGGGACGATCATCACATTATGCATCTTCTTCGGTGTCTTCTCCCCGTCGTATGAATTATTCACTCCAATTCGTGCGATAAAATGAATTGTCAGTCCGCGCATTATCCTGAGAAAGTTTAGAATCGTTCATCCATGTAGATCTTCACTAGTTCAGATCTTCTGTATTTTTCAGATATCGGACGTTGCAGCGAGTACCTACAATTAAATGACACATTCCATGATTCGCAGTCTCAGTCAAGATGACATCACTCGACTTTATCATAATAATCGAGCATTACTTAAATTTGTACAGAGATCTGATATCTCGATTGTTTTTTTTTTCAGGGAATGTTGAAAATGGAATGGAAAAAATCTCGTAGTTCCTTTAAAGGAACAATCAACTCGAAATTAATCGAAGGATCAAGAATCTACGGTTCAAGAGAAACAGAGGTTTCGCACTTATGCCCGTTTTCACTAGTGTAGATTAATTTTAATCTCGTTCTAAGAATCAAAAAAAGATGAAAAATAAGTTGAATCTAGATTAAAGTTAATCTACATTGATGGAAATGGACATTAGCGAGGAGTACTTTACACATATATGTCCACGCAACGTCGACACAACTGATATTATCTAAATTGATATTATCCGTTCATACATCATTCGTACGCAATTACCGTCAAATATACATGACTACATACATTTTATATGCGATTATCAGTCATTTACATATCGTAATTGCGCCACGTAATATCATAATGAATGAAACAAGTCGCATGCCGAAATACGCGAAATTCTATTCAATTTCAAATTAGTCACTACGCGATATAAAGTAGGTTAATTCCGCACTTACACGGAACTATGGAACATTATGTCTTCATATCTCCGCGAGTATCGCGTGAGTGTTCTTAGATTCACGCGACATCCATAATGACATTCGCGAGCCTCCTACGCTACATTAAAATGCTCGCGCGTATTCTTGTATGTTTGCATTAGCAATCCTCGAGCGTGAGACTAAAAAGTACCTATTTGTACGTGTTAATACATTTACGTGAGAATCCACGCAAGAACATAAGAACGTATATTTATAACGATGTTTAATGATGCTCATGCATTTCTGAAGTTTTTAATTGTAACGCGAAAAATTCAGAAATTTCGAAAATTGATTACTCTAATTTTATAAATATACGTACATAATATCTTTTATATATAATTATTACCAAATATTTTTCTTAAAACACAGATTCTTTAATAAATTTTGAATCAATTTTTTGAACAAACATCTTAAAGAGTATCCGTATTTTTTAAGTTAACTATATATTTTAAAATATACATTTTATTACATATTGAAAATATATAGTAAAACTTTTTCAATTTATTTTAAGTAGATTTTATTTCAGTAGAAAGAATTTCAATCTAAACAATTTTATCATAAAAATAATCTATATATATTAGGTGTTGGAATTAATTCGTAGCGTTTTTAATGAAAGAATGTTATTTATTTCACATGAGCATTAAAAAATACATATATATATATTTTTTTTTTGCAGATAGAATAATGGACCAAAATCGTTCGGTGAAACGACTAATGACGAAAGAAAAGACGATATTATAGCGCAAGAAAAGAAAAGATTTCTTATTGCAAGTTCCTCTGCAAGAGCTCGAAGGATTTGAAGCCCTTAGAAAGTCGAGCATCGTGCCTCGTAGGTGCAAATTACCGCTCGAATTGATTTTCGAAATAAGCTGGCTTTTTATACGTCGTCGTCCAGTGAGACATCGCGTGCCGGTAATTAAACCGAAGGCAAAGGGTTAAAGGTTCTCGCACAACAACGTAACCGATCAATTTCTACGCCACTATGGACGTATCGTGTACGTCATCATTCGCACGTGAAATTCATATCCTCATGCCATATAGACGCTCTCTGACTTTGTGACTCGCTTTTGACGCTTAGCTTATCGCAGTTATTCCTGGATGGAGCGTGTCGATTTGCGGCGACACGCGTATTATTAAATTAGAAAATCTTTACGTTTTTTTCTTTTAATACCACGTTTATGTTACACATTCCCTTAATAACATGTAAATCTTGTTCGATACTGAATGCTAATGATCCTCGTCTAACATGTCTTGATAGTGAAAAAAATTATTTTACATTTGATAAAAAAAACATATCTTCGAAGAAAAAAGAAACTATTAAGTCCAAGTTTTATATAATTCTTTTGTGCAATAATATGTAATCTCATATAATTAGTGACCAATAACTTAGCTAATACGAGGTTTATCAAATAAATACAAAGGAGGACTGTAAACGTCATTGATGTAACAAATCTTACGCTACCGATTCATGTGCAGCTGCAAAAATGAAATTGAAGGGAACGAAGAAGAGACAGTGAAGTGATCTCGTTTTAGCGCGCACAAGTTATAATCTCCATCACATATTGTATGTATATGATACATACATATATATACCTTTTTCTACAGTTCAAAGGTTCGTATGCATTTAACTCGCACACTACTTGCAGAGAAACGTTCGAAGCACCGCCACGTGATGGCTGATGATATACACAGGACTCGAGCAGGAGGATCACGTTCTCATCTTGTTAGGATTCAAACATGAGTGTGCACGCGCGCGCGCGTGCATACACGTGTATACACGCCTTCACGCCTTTGCGAGCATTCTCCCGCGATGGGTAAGTGTATGCATTCACATACGCATACACAATAAGTCACAACAGTGTTTGTACTCCCATCCAGTCTGTCTTATCCCATCTAGCTGCTTGACTTGTGACTTCAAGCAATTGATGTCTTCGCAGAAAACAAAATTGTTATATATAATACTAATTAAGATTTCGCATGATATATATCTTAATAAAATCCGAAAAATAAAAATAAGAGCTTTAGCAGAACAAATATTATTTTATTAGAGAGAAATATTTTTTTTAGAGAGAAATAAATAAATAGGACATAGTATATATATATATATATATATATATATATATATATAGTGTGTATGTGTGTTTGTGTGTGTGTACATATACATATAGTATGTCGAAATAGTTTAAAAAAATATATTATCAAATCTAAAGACGATTTAACGAAATTTATAATTATGCTTAATAAATATATTCAATTATAAGAGTCATGAATACTTTTGTGATATCAATATTCCAATATTGTACGTAATTTTTTAACTTTTCTCACAAATTACTGTTTTGAAATATAAATTTGGAAACAAAATTAATATAAATCTGCGTTTTTTATAGGTAAAGATTCTCTTCGAAAATATATCAACTTTTTAAAATTATAATTAGCATTATGATTCTTGTGATTCATTGTATATGTATATGATTCATTTGATCTGAGGGCATCGCTTTACATAGATGCAATGCGCACTTGAATAACGTATTCTGTTCGCGCATTCAATGACAGGATCGGAATTTTAATAGAAAAGAATTGAGGAACAATTTAATGTGTAGATATCGATAGATTTGTGCATTAGTAGCACCATTTGAAAACTGTTCATGGCGAATGGCATTAATTATTGATTTAATTTTATTAATAATTTAAATTATTTATATAACTAAATATAAATCCCCCCTGCGTGGCTATCAAAAAATATTTTCATAAATAGAATTCGTAATAAATAAATATAATCCTGTTAGAGTTTAATACTGAATCTAACGATTGAATCTTTTTAAATAAATTAATGTTTTAAATTGCTATTGGATTATATAACGCAGTCACGTATTTTTCTTTATATAAAGACTATTCATATAATTCATCTTTTGTGAGACACAAAGATGCTAAACCATTCTAAGAGCTATCCAATTATATATCTACAAAGAATAGTATTGTAAGTGAAACAAGTTTTGATCACATTGAACGACTCATAACGAAGAAGCTAAAAATAAAGAGTTAATTTATTTAACACATATACACTTCTCTCACAGGATTCAAAAGGATTGACCGTGATGCATGCAATCAACTATCGCTTGGCTACAAACTGACACACATACGTCATCTCACACGTGAGGGAAGATACATATCGGACACGAACCGCTGAAAGGACATATCCCTAACAAGGAGTATTTCATCGCTAAAGAGGAATTAATTCCCAATGGAGGACTGCAATCTTAATTCAATCGAGGGTGAATCTAGGTAGACAACATGTACATTCGCGTAAAAATTCGTTCGCGTACTCTCTTTTACTGGATTGAAACCATCATTGCTCATAACGAAACTTGGCGACGTCATACCTTCTTATTACTGTTACCGTCGGCCTCGAAGTGCCTCCTCGACGGTGACGGGTGTTGATAGGATCGCCGACGTGCGAGACGGCAGCCATGCGAGAAACGATCTCGTCGCCGAGCTCAATTAGTCACTAGGGTGGTTAAAACGATAAATAGACAATAATAACGATGCGAGAGGAAGATAGATCGTCTTGCACCGGCACGGTGACACGCACACACGTACACACACGGGCACCGACGCATCGCGTGAACACGCGTGTATTCGCGTAAGACGTCTTCACTCGCCGGCTACTCCCCGATAGTAGGCCGGATTCTTTAGGCTAGGATTCTTGTATCGGAGTCTTCACCAGGGACCAACTCGAGCGACGAAAACTGGGTGTAGTCAGATGAACGAGCGACAAGGACTTACGTATAACGAGACTGTCTCCGAGAGAGTGTGCCGACGAGAGGAAAGCAACAGAGGAGTAGGCGAAAAGATATGAATGACAGAAAGAGAAATGGGAAGAAGGAGAAAGAGGAGGTGACAGTAGGACTGGGTAGGACGAAGAGTCGCGAAAAGAGCGCGTGTGCACTCTCTCTCTCTCTCTCTCTCTCTCTCTTTCTTCCTCTCGATCGACTTCGTCTCCGGAGTTTCTAGGAGCGGTCGAGAGCGAAACACGCGGCAACTCGGAAGGTCGACCTGGTGGATACCGACGCGATGGAGACGGAGGCGCTGCTGCTGTCTCGTTCGGTTACCCACCATCCGCAGTCCTTTCGCACCGCACTGTACACCCCGTCACGTTTCCTCACGACCGGCGCCGCCTGACGACAGCGTCGCGACGCCGTTTCTCGTGGCGCCGTCATGCGGTCGACGCGCCTCGTCGATGCGCGTCGTCGTGCGCGACTGCTGCACAGCGTACGTGCGTCGACGCCGCTGTGCGCGATGGTGCGCGAGCCGCGATGCCGATGTACGTATACATGTGAGAGCTCACCTCCTGTGTGCGTGAGATTGACGAGAGCCGAGAAACGTGTTATTGTACTGGCCGCTCCTCGCGACTCGCGTGCGACCGTCACGTCGAGGTCTCCGTTAGTTCTATAATTTCTCAGTCATTCGTTCGATTAACCCCTTTGTAAAAAAGGAATTCACTTTGTAGACTCACGTACTTCTCTTACTTCTTTATTTCAATTTCTAAATAGATAGAATTACATAAAAATTTTTTTCGCCTCAACGTATTCTATAAACTATACCGACAAACTGTAAGGAGATAAATATTAAATAATCTATTTGTAGATAATATTTCGTTAGAAGTTATCGAGATTCCATCTGACTTTTTTAGTTTACATAAAGCACAAGCGCTAAAACCTGAGACCTTGTGTTTCCGTGCTTAAGAGAATTATAAGATTAGGCCAGTACTGTAAGGTCATTTAATGAAGCCTTTTGTAGTTACAAGGACATTGTGTCATTTATTGGAAATCGTTAATAACGTTGATATATATTTACTTACTGATTTTATAATTTAAACAATTTCTTGGTTTACTTAGTAATCTTGTGGAATTTTATTCCCAAAAACTACACATATTCGAAACCTAAATGGTTTTTAATTTTTTAGGAGGACATTTTAGTGTGTCAGGTAAAAAAAAATCGAAACATTTTTTTTCGTATTCTTGTAGTTTGGAGTCTTGGAAATGTATTAAAGGAATATAATGAAATTACTCATTATCTACATCGTAAATGCATGAGAAGCTTTAAACTTGTTATTTTTAAACATTTTTCAAGTCGCATATTTTTCTCGCAAATTAGGCAGCTCGACTTGCAAACGTAGTGTACTTACATGTTAAGCTATCATTCGGCCTTCTAATTTTTTGATATCTCTAAAATTAGTATTTTTTCGTGTCACAAGAAGTAAACTTTTTTTTTCAGTAAAAATCGAATTTTCTTTTAAGCGCTGCCATTTTATTGACTTTTCTTCCTATGATTTATTAATAGGCCGAACGATAACGATCGTAAACAATAAAACAAAAAAAATTTTTTTTTCAGACGAGACAATCACTGCACCCGATAAAAACGATTTTACGCGACATGACTTGCGCGTCTATTCATATCTTATATAATATACAATAAAAAGCTTTGCAAAAATTTGAGACGTTACGTCAAATACGAATGAATGTGAATGCAAAACATTAGTTCTGTAGGTTTAACCGTTTTTATAAATGTAACTCCCAAAATTCACCTTAAAAACAAGTAATCACACTAAAATATCCTCTTAAGACAATTATTTCCGATACGAATTAGCCACTTGCATAAAATCTCAATTATCAATCTTATTTTATTTATCTCAATTGCTTATAATTCAATTCTTTCTCTTAAATACGTGTACATATTATATTGTGTTCCAATTTTATATTCTCATTTCATGTAAGCTGCCAAAGTAGATCTTTAAAAAATTAACTTCCTTATGTTTATTAAGAATACATCAGGTATATTATATCAGATAAAAAATTATATATATATGCAATAAATCTAAAATTTTTTATATTTAATATAATTTTATAGTTTAAATGAAAACTTTCTTATTTTATTATATTTATTTTTAAAAACATTTATTTGTTTTTAAACGAGAAGTGATATAGGCGAAATACAATGTATTGACTCAGCCTTGAACTGAAACACTGGTGGAAAAGGTAAAAGACCCTCATGCGACATAACCCACGCGATTGTGCGTACCATATTATCCGATAGCTATAACATATGGATATTTCGCAGAGCGTTCATACTTTATTTAAGATTCGACTCGACCTTCGCCGAGGACTAACCCTGGACTTACGATTCTGTATTAAAGCATTAAAGATACGTACAGACAATACCACGACATTAATACACTCATGATAACGAAGTCGGTCGCGAGCGCGAAGCGCGTTTCGATAGCCGAGTATTCGCAAAGGGATTCCCCAATTTCTATCAAAGCCGATCGATTTCTAATCTATATTATAGCAGTTCACTCTTGAAAGAACTTGATCGTTATCTATCAATATTTGCGACTTCGCGTACGGGACTGATTATTGTTATAATAACATTCTGCAATGAGGAGATTGATTTCATCCATATATGCCTCTATCTAGATCGTTAATTATTTATAAAACACCATATTATCGCACTTTTCGAAAGTAGTAACTCTGCATATAGAGAGAACTGAGAGAACTTCTATCATTAAATATTTCTAAATGTGCTTATAAATTATGCACTTCTCAACACGAAAGAATGTTTTGGTGTCCCCTTGTGAACATTTTTCTCAGAATTTTTTAAGTAATTTTTTAAAATTTTTATATAAATTTAAGAATTTTTCAAAATTTCTAAATAATTTTATATCTTTTACGCAACATCATAATTTTAAGTGGAGTAAGCAGAAAAACTGTTCTCTCAATTAAGTTATTTTATTTTTATTTTATTTTTATTTAAACAATATACAATTAGTATATATACAATTAGTTAATAAACGTTACAGTAGTATACTGAATCGAAACGTTTGCTACAAATTATTGGTGAGAACTGAGAAATTCAACTCAAGGATTTCATTTCAGAAGAGAAGACCTTTGTTAAAATAATGAAAACCAATAACACAATGCGTCTCCAATATCAAAAGCAGCGACTAATGCAATTTTTCAAACAAATCTACGATTACTTATGAAAATATGGAAACGTGACAAGGATTGGTGTGCGAAGGATTATCTGAATAGAAGTAAGTCCTTTTACTGCTTTTGAGGAAAGCTTTTGAGCAAAGTCAGAAATACTTTTCTTTTTCTTTCTTTAACGAGAGAATAAAGATTGCAAGATAAAAAATTTTACGAGATTGTATTAGACATTGTTAAGGAAATCTGTATATGCACTTGAAAAAATAAAAAAATTCTCAAAATTCCGAAAATATTAAAAATCCTAGAATCCGCAAGTAGAGGAGTAGTTGCGGTAGATAACAGATATAGAATTAAATGATTACATCCATTATTTAGTCATTCATTTGATAATTAATGTTCATAATACTGTTAAAAGTATTAGAAAAATAACAAAAAAGTGAACATATTACTGGCATAACATATATAATTAATAATTATGTTATAAAATTAAAAATTTTTCTCTTTTAACATATTATAAAAATGTATTAATGCTTTCTATTTAAATTTCATAAAATCAGTCATCTTCGTCAGCTACTTTTATTTATTCGATGAATAAAAATAGACGTGATGTCCAGAAAGAAATTATAGTGTCTCGAATTCTATGTTTATCTTCTAATTAATAGATTGACTTTTATTTTCAATTTATTGTTATATAACGAAAATTAGACTTACAAATTAAGAATTATTTAAATAATAGTAAAATAAGATAGTTTTTATATTATTCTAAAGATTTAAATTTTTATTAACAATGGCGTGGATATTGCTAGAAGTACAGTTTTTCGTCCTATTAAAGGAGGTGCAAAAAGATTGCTAATAACATACAATATCGCGATAATATTCGCGCATTAGCTATCGCGATATTTCTTCAACATATATTTTAAAATACTTTGAATATTTAAAATAGCTTGAAGAGGGTGAGAGAAATGTCTATAGACTCGTACAACTTTAAGTAATAATAAACGCGGTCTGTTTCCAGGGTAAAAGTCGATACTTCGGAAATGTAAGTCTCGACCTCGTCGTTTTACGGTGAAACGTAAATGAAGCGCGTACGCAACTTTGTGGCCGCTTCTTATAATCACGTAGACGGCAAATGGCCACGTGTAGCAGTCATTCCGGCTAAGTCGTGGCCAAAACGGATTTCTATTGGACTTACGCATGCACCATCTCATTTCTGCTTTCATCGACGTTATTATACACACATGCCATATGTTCGTGCTACTCGTCGAATCGATGATCATCATCTTTCATCGGTATCACGCGATATGTATTTTCTCATTTCAAACTACATTTGCGGATTATGATTATTGTTTCAGTTACTTTCATTATGTTCGATTAGATTTTCATAGAAATAATTTCGATGGGCAAACCGCGCATTCTCGTTAGTGTCTTCGTTCGTGAGAGTCTTGCAAATAATTTATGATAAACAACTTAAAATTAGAGTATTATTGAATTATCAGCGTTCGCTGCTTTATTATTCGATAAAGGAAGGATATTATCTTTATTATTTAATTAAATATTGATAGAGACTCTAATGCAAGACACGAAAGACGCAGCATCTTTTGATTGATCATATTTTAACAACTCCTAAGAGAGAAAGAAAGAGACAAGAAAAAGATAGAACAAACAAAAAAATAATACAAATAATAAATATATGTCTTTCCTCTCAGGATTTTACTAAAACTAGAGATCCTGCATACAAAATGCGGTTCGTGTCCAATCTCTGGGAATCGATTCTATATCTTGAAACAAGAGAAAAATTACAAAAATGATAAATTTACTATATGTTGGCAATGAAATTATAAATATTCTAATAAATTTGCTCAATTTTGTAATTTTCACCTCATTTCAAGATATGGAATCAATTCCCTGATTGAAAGGATCTCTAGATGTTGAAATGTAAAGAAAGACTGTTCATGTACTTAATTTATTTAATGTAATATATTCATATATGATATGCATAAGTATTGCGATCTTATCAAAAAATGATTTGCACTTATCTTTTTAGCATGACGTATATCATACCGATAATATTATTTAATCAGAGATAACGCGCTCTAGCATTAGCAAACGAGCATGTTATCGAGGCGCATCTTCTCTCTATAATTTTTTTTATAAGACTGACAGTTACTTCCACGTCTTTCGAATATCGCACGAACGTGGTTCTATTTTAAATTGCAGACTCTGCCTTTTCTTAAATCAGTCCGTACTTTATCTATTTATTTGACTTTGCTCAACTTTGCTCACATCGATAACGCGAATGACATCATTGATTTGTGTATGTTGATCTGGACTCCTCTCATCACGATCGATTCTATGATATTATGACTGGAATTATTTTCTTTAGAAAATACAATATAAATCTAGGGAATAGTTAAATAATTCCGATCGCGGAATCCATTTCGACTTGTTTCATGATAGATGCCCTTGCGATTTCTTGCTGATGAATGAGTTAATTTTCAGGATAAGCAATTGTCTTCGTTGAAGTTTTATTACCGATTTGGAGAAATCATATTTTATACGGAAAATAAACTGTTTTTACGAATGCATGTTTTTCTGCATGTCATCTCTTATCTACCGCATTATCGGTTAAACGAAACGGCAAGTTTTGTAAACTGCATCGCAAGGTATTTAACAATCCTAGACGTTTAGCGATAATAATAATGTCAGTATGTAATTCGGCAACAGGTTGAGGAGAAAATGACTTCCGTAATCCGAGCAAATTTGTATGTATTATTCATAATCGTGCACTTAACGGATCGAAGAATCTTCATAGAAGATGAAGAATCTTTATGTGAAAATCTCGAAAAAATTTCTACGCTATTTCTAGTTCTGAATTATTTTAAAAATCACTTAAAAGGATTTTGCATTCCATATAAGAATATAACTTAGAATATATAATAATTGCATAAATTCGCTTATTTAATTTTAATCTTATACAAGACCTATTTGCATTTAGGATCATTCACGATGTCTTGAATTGCTATTGAGTGCACGTTTTTGTTAACTAATTAAAAATTATTTATCAACCCTTTCCGGTTCAAACTTTCTCACATAAACGAAGCTCAAGTATTTTGTTCTTAATTTTATTCAATCGATTAGTCTAACATAAATCAAATTTGTATTGCAGGAATATATATGAAGATTCTAAAAATATAATTCATTAATTATAATTGCAGAACGGAATTGCATTCGAGTACTTGAAGGTACGATAAATTACTGCAGTACATCGAATCCAATCCTTGATATAGAACTGCAAAGAGTTGAGAAGAGATTGTTTCGCAGACGGGCACGAGGATATGATTCCACGAAACACAATTAAGAGATGGCTTTCGCATACTCACAATTAAGGAGATGGGCGGAATAAAGGTCTAATTATAAAATTTTGATATTAATAAAAATTAAAATAACTTGCTACTTTTTTTATTATACATAAATGGATACAATATTAAATGAATTTATATAATGTTTAAGAAGTTACTTTAAGAAGTTACATGTTATACAATACTTTTCTATTACGATCAATGTTACATGAAAAAGCTAATTGCCGGAAAAAGAGTCTAAATAGAATTGTGCCTTTATTCCATTCATCCCCTCAATTACATTCAGTCATGCGTGCGTAGGTGTGTTCAGGATCCTTACCTTCCAGTTTCTCGGTGACCAATTATCCGTCATGTTGCAGATACACGATAGCCCGCGCGATACAACACGATGTACGGTGCGAAGAACTGCCGCGACAATGCTGCGACAATGCCGAGTGTCTCGCGCGCGTGTGAGTTGTTTTTCCCCGGATGAGTCGCGTAGCCGGACATGTATGTATTTTACCCGCGAGCTTGCGTGCTGACGAGGAATCGGCTGCGCGTATGTCCGCATTTGAAGTATGTACAACATAGTATTGTTGAACGAACACAAACACGAGAGACAATAACACGGAGAGGGGCTCCGATTAAAAAAACACCGATTGTCGCTTTTACGAAACATAAAGACTGCTACTAGATCATTTTGCTTGTTAATATCATATTAATTCATAGTTTACAACGATCGCATATGTAATAATTTAGCGTCGTGATCTGCACGATTGTCATGTAATTAAAGTTCGTGACGAAACAAGCCATTATTTTTATCAAATCGCAAAATTAAAATTCATTTGTTTTTAACTAAAAAGAAGCGCCAATTGCAGCTTTTATGTAATAAAATAATAATTCTCTATATATAATTTATTTTAAATACATTTCCTTCAGATATATAATTGCGTGTCGATTACTTTCGGATTATTTGCAACACAATCAAATGAACTGTTGCATATATCTAAAGAATATATGTATTTAAGATAAATTATATGTATAGAATTATTATTCCAATATCTAAGTTTGATTGTAGTTGGAACTTCTTTCTTGATTTACATTCATATAGCGATTTTGTTTCTAACATATCATCGATTTTACTTATATTTGAAGATATATATTAATTTTTAAAATTAAAAACTTTTTAATGTACATACTTACACATTACGTATATATATATTTTAAATATATTAATTTTATACATATATATAAATTAATATTTTTAAGTAAAGAAGTAATTCATGAGTTTTAACTTTTTTTTCGAAAAGCATTCTTTCCGTACTGATAAACCACTTCAATCAAATAGCATTTGGTCTCGAATATCATACTGAAGAGCGATGAATCAAAGTGAAATTATGTTCTCCAATCGTCAAAATCTTGCCAGAGATCTTAAAGTAACGTGATGAGTTTAGCGTCGATATTGTGATGTCGCGAGATGCTTTCATTCACGAATCTGTTCTATTTATGCAATTCCCACATTATGCAACGAACAAACTTGAATGAACGATTATTGCAACTGCGATACGTATATCGATCGGGTGATTTGGCGGTCTAAAATCGAAGCAGTTTATTATCGACGGTTACGCAGATTAACGTAGATAGACGATATTAGCGTTTTGATAAATAACATTGATAAATATGAATGAATCCATTTTTAGATATGCTAATTACATATTTATAATCGCAATATCGTATTTACATAATTCTCTAACAAAGTGTGTCTCAATAAAATCGCACAAATCTGTAATTGCTTATGATGCTGACAACTTGCTGTAAATTTGCTTCAACGATTTCGAATATACCGACATTGCAGCAACAATGTGTATATGTATATTGTCAGCAGTTTAACAGGAAGATAGTTGCATCAATGTTATCTTGCGTTGGCAATATGACAGCACTATATGATGCTGCATATTATTATGGCAACATGATGACAATAATACGAATTTTGATGATGACGATTTTAAAGTTGTCGGCAAATTGCTGGTAAATTGCTACTCAATGTTATCATATCGTGAAGGCCCATCAAATTGCCAACAAATAAGTGAAATAAAGACTTAGTTGCTGCAATTTGGGTAGCAATACATATATTTAGCAATGCATATATATTTAGCAAGCAATATGTCAGCAACAAGACAGACACGGTGTTATCTGAATTCATATTATAATTATTATAGTCATTAATTTAAAAAATAGCACATGCATAAGACGGGAAACGTATTCACTTACAAATTTATTATATCATTTTTTAATAGACTACTATAAAAAATAAGATTGTAGAATTTATATATAAAAAAAGTAATATCTTCTACTTGGATATATATATAATATATATATATTCAATTAAATAGATATTCAAATGAATTTTTAAACTAAAAGAAGAGTTATCTTTCAATTATTTAATTTGGACAATTTATTTATGCAGCACCTCTTACAATTATTTTATTTATATTTTTTTTAAAGGTCGAGCATCATACGACTCGTCGTGGAAGAAAATCTCGCCAATAGTTGGCGCTCGCAGACAATTATTTTCAAACTGATAGACTGTTGACGCGTAACCTATAAGAAGTGGGTTTTAATAAATTATAATAATGGTAAGCATGTTATTCTCATTCTATAATTAAGAGACCCGTCTCGTTTTTTTAATACATATTACTTAATTCTTTTCAGTTACCTCTGACTTTACTAAAAACAGCGCAAAACCACCCCATGGTAAGTTTGGATTTGTACATAATATTTCTTGAAGAAGAATGTTTAAAGAGGCCTTGTATATTACTATATTAATAATCCAACTAAGTATTTTATTGCAGTTGGTGGAGCTGAAAAATGGGGAAACTTACAACGGTCATTTAGTCAGCTGCGATAACTGGATGAACATAAACCTCAGAGAGGTTATATGTACATCAAGGGTAAGAATATTACTATGTGCATGCTGATTTTAGGAAAGACTTCTTATTTGCTTAATTGAGCTTCAGTTTAGACGGATCTATGAAATAAACACAGAATGACGCTCTCTAAATGAATTATAATCAATTTTTTTATAATAAAAATTAAAACTGAATAAAATTTACTAATATACTAGACATTTAATTTTAAAGCATTTAGTATTGATACCTAGTATATGCTAGTATTTATATGTTTATATTTTTAATTTGTTAATCAAAAATATTTTTAATTTATAATCAATGAACCCTAGAGTTAAGCTATAGATATTCAATTCATTAAAATCTGACAATTGTGTTAGGATGGTGACAAATTCTGGAGAATGCCTGAATGCTATATAAGAGGCAGCACAATAAAATATCTGAGGATCCCAGATGAAGTAATAGACATGGTAAAAGAAGATATACAGATGAAATCAAGGGGACGTGGCGAGATGAAGGGCCGAGGCCAGAATCAAAGAGGACGTGGTGGTGGAAGAGGTAATGATTCTTCTTTATAAAATTATTAACCCTCTGTACATAAAAAATACCTTTAAACGTCCTTTTTTTGAACTGTGTATTTTTAAGAAATTTTTTTCCTCAATGAAAATGTTAAAGTACTCTATAATTTGAAACATTTAAAATGAAGAGCTTTTGAAAACTAAGTTTCAAAGGAGCAGTAAATGAAATTTTGTTTTCATATTATCCTGTAGAAGACAATTATCAACAATCTGATGAAAATTTTTAAAGCAATTTATTCATTGTTGTTCAATATATCTTACAGGTACCTTTGGCAGAGGAGGAAGAGGTCCAGCACCATTGGGTCGTGGGGGTAGTACACAAGTCGGAAATAAATCACAAAATAAACCAAGACCTAAATGAAACCAAATATTATTTTTATTTTACTTCAATTACATAATTCTACGCGAATATTCGAAAATATTTTCTTTTGCGAAGATTCGTCACTTATTCCGATTCCTTATTGTTCCACATAATCTTGTATATGTAAACTTAATATCTTAATTCATATCAAACAAAGGCGCATTGCTCGTGTGAATATTGTACTTAGTTGTACATATCAGGAGACACAAGCGTAACAATACTAGTTTCCTTTGCACGAGACCGCGACGGTACATTTTACAGTAATGTAAACTGTAGTGAATACTTTATTAAGAATGCGTTTAAAAATTATAAATTTTTTTATTTAATTTTTTGTCGCAAATTGCATTAATTATAAAAAATACATATAATAGTTTATTGTAAGAATAAAAATGATCTATGAAAATAACAATTCTGTAAACTTCTGAACAATTAATTTTGTAAGTAATTATAATATAACACATAATTATTTGTGTAAACGATGAAATTTATCTTGTTTTATTTAATTTTAGTTAATCATGATGAAATTAAAATAAATTTTTTAATTTCTTTAGTTAATTGTTACCTTTATACTAGTAGGAAAATTATTATCTACTATTATATATATAGGAAATAAATTTGTATTTAAAAAAGGAAGTTTTTATTTTGGTCGTTCATAGCCTTACAGGATTATGTAACGACTATATTCTGAAATATATCTACTATACACAACATCCTTACTTTCTAATAAATAGAATAAGAGACATGTAATGTACATCTTTATCAATAGTAGTTTATTGTATTGACCAAAGTATAGCGATGGTTATAGAGATTACGTCAACCGATCATATCTATTGTTCGATATCATTGAAAATAGCCGATAAACTTATATAAAACAAGTTTTTTGCAGAATGCAATTACATTTTCTTTTGTATATTTGTAATTATTATTTGGTGCCCATCCTTATGTTATGAATACGTGGAATAAGAAGTACTACAAACAAAAAACTAATTATTTAAATGCAGTTCTAAATATTAATATTTAGTATTATTTCATATCAACTAAACAAATGTCTCACTCACTTAAATTATGTGCCTTAAAAGATATTATTATGACTTAGTGCATTGTAATTCATCGTCCCTCAACTGTAAGTAAAAAAAATATCGGATTAATATACTTTTAATATAAGATTTTTGGATAAGAATAATTAAATTTTTAATAAGTTAAACTTACTGTATGAAGCGAGATCGATTTCGTCCGGTAATTCTGTAATATTTACGTCAAACCTTTCTTGAACATCATTCAATATCTTTGCATCGCTTTCATCGCTTACTAATGTAATGGCAAGACCCTGCGAAATATTGTTAAATGAGAATCATATACATAATTAGAAAAAGCGGTTATATTACAAATATTTCACGATTCAAAATAACTTTACAATTTGAATTAATTATCAATAAGTCAATGTTAAATACTTCGTTTTGATTTTGATTTTATTAGCGTATAATATAATAGTGAACATTGTTACAGATTTTTAAATGTTTCATTATACATATGTAATTTAAACATTTGATGTGGAAAATTACTACAAAATTGAAGAATTCATTATAAACAACCAGAATTTATTACCTTTGTACCAAAACGACCAGCACGCGCAACTCTATGCAAATATGTATCGGAGTCTTCTGGCATATCATAATTAAATACAATGTTTACACGTTCTATATCCATACCACGTCCAAACAGGTTTGTCGCCACCAAAATACGCTGAAAATATTACTCGGTTTTTCAATCATATCCTGTATATAATTTTGATTCGATTCGAAGAACTTGATGTAGAAATTCTACTTACTTTCTGAAAATCTTTGAACTGTTGATATCTGGATAACCGCTCCTCTTGCGTCATACCCCGATGAATCCCAATCGCAGGGAAATTTTGTTCCGTTAAAAGTTGTGCTAAAGCCATACATCTTTGTACAGACTTCACAAATATGACAACCTATACAAAGCAATCATTAAAAGGTAAATAGTATACATATAATATTGATAATACAACTGGTATATCTGAAGAAGAAACATTTTTAATTTAATATCTTAAAATGTTAACTCGTTTAAACGTATAAATCATTCTTAAAAATAAATACTTGGAAGAATCTTCATCAGAATTGGTGAGTAGTGATAAGATAGTCATCATAGGAAATAAGAAAAACTATTGCATCATGTAAAGATTCTCCACGATAAGAAAAAAATGGATATCCACTGCAGATTGTCCTAGTTAGAAAACAAACCTGATTAAACTCAAGAACATCAAGTAGTTCAAACAACTTCTTGTTCTTCTCGTTTTCCTTCAATTTAACGTAATGTTGCTGGAGACCGTTCAAGGTGAGCTTCGCCTCGTCATCGACATAGACCTCCATGGGCTGCACAAAGAACGTTATTTCATAAAATAAACAAATTATACAGTGCCTATGTATAATTCTCAGGCCGTAGGAATTTGCGGCTGTGTCTGCAGTCTCTATGTACTCATTGTTTTTGCCATCTAAAAATCGTGCAATTGAATGCACGATAAAGAGACGTCTGTTCAAAAATACGAGTAAAACAAACTAAAATGATATCCCTTGATGCAACTACAGCGTTTGCACAAAAATGAAAGTTTTTTAAAATACGAATTTTTAAGCGATACAAAAAAAGACAAAGCCAAACCATTTTTTTTTCTTGTAAATGTACTACCAAATATCTTTTTCTTCCTTTGAAGAAACAGCATTAGGTTCGTTAAGTTACCGTATATATCCGTAAACATAGAAAGTCCCGGCAAGAGACTCCCGCATTTCAGTTGCAGAGAATAATCATAATCATCGATCGAGATTAGTCATACAGATTACATACGGTCCGGCGACTTCCATCTCTGGGTAGTGCCAACAACGAAAACTCAGCAGTTTGTCCCAACTGAACTTAAGAAGGCGCACTCATGACAGAACGTTCGGTCACATCCGCTGGCCACTCGATGCCAAAATCTCTTCTCCCAAATTTCTGGCACATTAAGAAGATGCCCAGAATCGACTCGCATTACTCTGGTTGGCATAGACGCTCAGCTCTTCACTTCCGGTATCCACTAAGCCGCGACCCGATTTGCGTCACTCGTACGAAATAAAGAGCGCAATTTACAGATACACGAAGATTCGCGTGATTTAGCTTTCATGTGACTTTACGGTTTTTACGACATGAAATTGCTCGATTCATGCACGGCACTTGCATCCTTGTTGACTTCACTCGTACTATGAGACCACGATCGCAATCGAAATCTTGGCACCGAGACAAGAAAACTTTAGTAAAGCTTTTAATATGCGATTGGATGAACGTGAATACAATAGAGCTATGCTATGCTTTTATATTTCTTTTCCCTAACTAATCCTAATCATTCCCCTGAGTATCCTCTTGCATCTTCTTTCTTGTGCTCTTCTGTCTTCAGGTTGTCTTGAAGTCTTCTTAGCCCCCCACCCAAAGTAATTGCAAACAAATCCCATAAGTGCATACAGAGCCTAATTCTATTCTAACTCCTCCTGACGATTACCCATAAGAAATATTTCATATCCCTATCTGTTTTTTCTCCCTCAATATATTCCCTGAACGTATTGTTATCTTTATTACGTATTGTCCCTTAAATGCGTAGCAACTAATTAAAGGACTTTACTATCGATTGGAACTCTAACTCGGATCTTTCAAACATCGTGTCGGTTGACTCGATTTTAGACAAATAGATGTATGCTTCCCCTCCACATGTATATGCAGACGATGACACATCAGATATCGAGTTTAGACTTGGAATCAGAATCGGGAGGAGCAGTGAGATATTATGTTGGACACGAGTGTCGAGCATATGATTGCGCCGTTTATCGAAAGATATCGAATGAGATTCATTTTTTTCGAACTCGGTATTCATTTCTTCAAAGCGGCGTCTAAGCGCCTAACCCGCGGATGCGCCGACATTGATATTTATAGTGTGGCTTGAGCTTTGTCCTGGACACGAATATGCCAACGAGGCAGGAGCAATCGTAGATCGAAGTGAGGAGGAAGATTGTGTAATTACATCTTGCATGAATTTTTTGCAGACAGGACGTATCTCCTTGGACAGCGTGGCACTGAACATCATGACTTGTTTGCTGTGCGGTGTGCTTCTGAATATTTCCTGTACGTCCCGGCGCATATCTGTAACAATAATGTAGCACAATTATTTATTATTTGAAATGGGATGTTAAAAATGAAATAAATTTTAAAAAATCGCTCAGTTGAGTGGGTGATGGAAAAAATAGTCATCACAATAAATTAAGACTTTTTCACACATCATGTAGATTCTTTTTAATAAATTTTAAATAAATTAATTAGTTGATTTATAACGTACCTAATAATTCAAGCATCTTGTCACATTCGTCAAGAATAAAATGTTTCAGGTGTTTTAGATTCAGTTTTTTATTCCGTACAAGAGCAAGAATACGACCAGGGGTGCCAACAACAATATGAGGACACACAGTCTTCAACATCTCTTCATCTTTTTGGATAGGTAAACCACCGAAGAATACGCCAACCTAACAAAAAGAATTTTATTAAAAACCAAAAATATAAATCTTTTTACAAGATTAGGAAGAGATAGATATATCAGAATATTTATCTCAATCAAAAATTTCAGATGTCCCTTTCTACTATAAATTGTATGTATTCATCATTGTATGTAAAAATTGTTTGTTAACAATATAAAATTTTATAAAAAGAACTCTTAAAAGCTGCACAATATTATCTTATTTATTCGTAAATAGTTTATACACAATCAAAATGGTATAAAACTTACTTTCACATGTGGCATGTATTTGCTAAACCTCTCATATTCTTTACTGATTTGAAAAGCCAATTCTCGAGTGTGACACATTACTAGGACATAGACTTGGTTCTCTGTTAATTCCAGTTGCTGAAGAGTAGCTAATACAAATACAGCCGTTTTTCCCATACCCGATTTTGCTTGGCACAGTATATCCATGCCAAGAACTGCTTGAGGAATACATTCATGTTGTACTGTAAACGTCAAGATTTATACATTGTTAACTTACAACTTTATATTGCGTAAAGTTAAAATAAAAAAAATATAGATACATTGAAAATGTCTAATTCGATCACAAAATCTCAGTTGTCCTTATCTAGCATTATCAAATAAAAATATATTCATCATTTTATATATATAAAGATAAAAAATAATTATTCACCTTCAGATGGATGTTCAAAGCCACAGTCGACAATAGCACGAAGAATTTCTGGCTTCAAAAGGAAATCTCTAAATCCACTGCTGTGGATAGAGACATATGTAC